AGTTTTGACACTGAAAGCTTCAATACCGTATATGCATCCGCATACATCACCTCCTGATAAGCATGCTACAAAAAACCGACGAATTTATCTGGTAGCCCAACACATTTCTATTATAATTCATACAGCGAACATTTTAGCTTCAAAATTTAAGTGCGGCTTCCCCTTACTTGTGTCTAACCGAACAAAAGAATTTTATCTAAATTTACAGGGTGTTTTACTTTCCTTGTCACGGAGTATATTGTGCTAGAATATGCTGATAGAGACCTCTAAAATATCTACAGGGTAAGTTTTTGGTGTGGAATATGTCGATTTATCCGTTATTGCACATGGTACCTGAAAAAGTTGAATACAAAAATTGTAGCTATGTATCAATTTGTTCCTGATTTGAGATATTTTTACGTTTATAGGGTGACCCAAACATACATTGTTTTTAATGAAAAGATCTATAATTAATTGTAGATTCGGATAGGCCCTTCCAAACTAGGCCATTTGATATTTACCTACTATTCCACTCAACAAAACACTCAACTTTGATAGCACGCACCTCTGCAACTGTTATAGCTAGAAAACTGATTTTTTCGACAGAAAAACTTTAGGAACCCATATTTTTGGCCACCACGTAGAAATAAAAATAATTTATTGTGCCTAAGAGCTACAATTTTTGGAATCAACTTTTTAAGATACCATGCGCGATAAGAGACTTATGGAGCGAGCCCACACTGAAAACTCACCTCTTTTTTTTATTTTTATTGTTTCCAGCATCATACATTTTGCAACCCTGCTTTAGAAAAGAATGGTCATTTCAGTAACCTATGTATATACACACATTTAAATAAGTGCCTGTACTTAAACACCTTGTATTCATAATAATTATACTATCCCACACTACATGCATTTGAAACCCACGACCATGAAATATATTAAATACTTCAATATATGACCTTTCAAGGAGTATCTATGTATAGACATCAATGCGGAAAAAAGTGATTATAGCAAGCTTAATAGTTTGTACCATAACCTTCAAAAGTAACGAACATCATGAATTGCAAATATTGGTCAAGCTTTTGTCAGTTTTCATTCCTTCACTGTAAAGTGTATTATAAGTATACAGTACTAGGATTGCGAAATTATCTTAAAATACATAGTTAGCAATAGATGGCTGTGCCTGCTGTATGAACCAGACCATGATCTCACAAAGTAGTGTGACAAGCTTCCTCATCGCTTTTGTTTTACAAGAACACACAAGTAGTGTTTTGGGCCCGGTTGATTTCCTCTGTAGGCGATTTCAACATGAAAGAAAAGTTCGAGGAAAGAGCGAACATTTTGCGTAAAGCTTGAAAAATCATCTACAGAGACAATGCAAGCTTATGGTGATGAATGTTATAATGCCAGTGCCGATTTAAACAGAGAAGAAAGTTCATGATGACGTCGTCAGTAAAGGAAATTAAGCGAGCACCAAAACACTAAATAAAATTCTTGCAAAACAAAAGCGATGAGGAAGCTTCGCACACTACTTTATGAAGATATGGTACAGCCTGGAGCCGTTGTCTGTTAATACTTTACAAAGCTAGTCCGGGAACTTTTTGATACACCTTTGTATAGTTATATATGCTTTTTACGTTTGCCGTAACACACATCCTGGTGATTTTACCAATTATGTGTTCAGTTACTCGGCGCTTGCAAGACAAGGTAATCCTTCATACACAGAGTGTTTACCCTATTAAATTGAGCTTTTCACTTATTCACTTAGTACATATGAATTTCCTGTTAACATATAAAATGTATACAACTTTGAAAATAACATTTTTTCAAACACGTTTTAAGATTAAGATCTGTGGCTGCTATCTGATCAGATATTTGACAATCTGCACTAATAAAATCTATTGCATCCGAAACTTATTTTTAATTTCTCAAAGATATTCAGAAATAAAACTTTTATTTATTTTATAGCCATGATCTTAATTAAAAGTTCCATTACAATGAAATGGTAGTACGCGGATTAAAGGGGCACGCCTTTGAATGAGATGAGAATCTAACAGAAGCAGATGAAAAAGGTGAAGTCTTATTACTAGGAATCACTTTATGACTTCTATTCCGAGAAATACATATTCATTTATTTAATTCGACGGTAAGCCATGTTGCAATAAAATATTTAAGAATTGGGACATATACAAGACTTAAATGTTCATACAATTACTTTTCACGACAATCAATAAAAATCACAGTTAGTGTATTCATAACTCACAAATCAAAAATATACCTACCCAGCCTGTTTCAAAAATCATTAATGGAAATCCCCTAAAGCTCGAAAGGACCGATTATATCACTCAGTAATTTAAAAATGTGGCAAATATCCACAAAAATACTTTCAAAATTTCTTGATCTGATCACTTTATGACTTCTATTCCGAGAAATAAGATCAGAGAAGGAAATAAGATGCTTGGCATAAAATAAATGTAGGATATGTTTTAGAAAACATAGCATTTACTTGCAGGTTTCTTTAAATTTGAGTGAATAAAAGTACCATAATTATACGTTAACTTATCAAAATGTAAAGCTAAATCAAGGCTTCACTTCCAAGTGCTTACTTAAGACAAATATAACTTCCTCTATAAAGATTTAATATTCTCTGAAACACCAAAACGAACTAGATGCAGTAAGTGAGCATGTTTCGATTATGGACATTAATTCAAAAATGATATGGGCTTATAGATCAATATGAACTTGGGGATGCGCCGAGTCCTGTTTCTACTCTGCCCATTTTCCCGAGTACCCGGTTTCTCTGCTACTCGGTCTGAATTCAAGACCCGCAACTAGTGTAAATCAAAGAACTACATCTGCGAAGTGCAAAGCTTAAGTTCATATGCTGTTCCCAAACCTTCATGATATGTAGTACTCCAATAAGTTAACGCCCCATCAAAGAAATAGCTAAGGTTACAGCATATTTTCGCTGAATCATTAACCTGACTTGGCTGATTTTTCATTAAATTTCGACCATCTTATCTATCTGCTTACGACATTTGCTTAGCTAATTTTTTATATATGAGATGTTGCACTACATTTTTTTTCATAAAGAATACAGTCCATAGAGCAACTACCATATCAGTTAAACCGTAGTTACATTGTATTGATTTTTGTTATTCACATTTGCTCTTTTACCTTTCATTTCAATACTCAAAAAAAAGGAACAACTTCGAAACAAAGTAAATAAAATGCAGCAAATGTCGAACAGTAACGTAAATAACTGGTATTCCGCGTTTCTACAGAGAGTCTGTAGTCTTCTCAGAAGCGCAGCTGAAAAACTTATAGGATAGTTGTCTACCTCTAACAAACATGCAGGGTTGAGATGTTTTGAGTGTCTCACGAATGTGCACTTCTTGTTGTAAGAAGAATTGAAAGAATACGAAATATATATGTTCCAAAAATATAATCCCAAAATATGGTTTCAATCCTAATTCAATATCATAGCTGCTGAAGATAGATAATTTATTCGCCAAGAACTTGGACTAGAACATCTGCAAATAAATAAGATGATTCCGTAGAAGGTAAATCATTTGCCGCAATAAGAGAATAAAATACTAAACAATGGTTTTAAAAGGACATATATTAAGTTACAGAATTTCAATAAAGGGCGAAGTTTAAACTAGAGAATCAAATCAAGTAAACATTTTGGTGTAAGGTGTTTTGAAATTTCAGTCATTTGTTAATTGTCATTTCCGTGTATGTTTAAGACTAATTTATTTCTGAATAGAGTAACAAATGATGCCAAGGTTTTGGTCTATATTGGTAATTTCTTAATTTATAAAATGTCATGTCTGCTTAAGATCCATTTTTTACACCTTAATGGAAAAAGCTTTTGGATTGTATTTGTTTTATCTGTTGTGGTATCATATTGAAACACCTGGGGCATAAGAAAATAGATGACCGTTGTTGAGGGCATTCTTGTCCACAGTAAAAATATATATTTAGCTGTTTTTAAGAACTTAAAAAACGAAACATTTGAAAATACCACAAATACACCAGCCTACGACTCTACACCTGTCAAGAAATTGCCTAAGCAGCACAACTTCTTTTGCCATGCGTTAATTTCAACTATGAAAACTAAGAGCCTTTCAAAATGCACATATAATCTTAATATCACAATAGCTGAAATAACCCAGAATACATATTACCGAGAACCTGGCCGATTACTTGGTATTCGAATTTGACCGAGTGACTGGCGTTTCGAAGGTGGTACTCGGTGCATCACCATGTGAACTTTGCGATAATATCTATCAACTAAAATGGTTCAAGTTTTACAAAATTTCGAATATCAAAAGTTTTCACCAACGCTAAAAAATGATGAGGAAATTTATGGGCATAAAAAGTGAATTCTAATCTTTACCCGACTGCCCCAGAAGAATGTTTTTCATGGCTGGGCATATGTGGATATATTTACTGGTATTATCTGAAAAATCACGGGCTACAGGTTAACCGACTTGAAGTGCGAGCAACAGTAGCTATATAAAAATTTTATAAAAACAGAATAGCGGATTGTAATAAAAAATTCAACATTGAAATTCATATTTTATGGACTACACCTTAAACGGCTTGATGGGTTTTGACTTATGAAGTGTCTCTAGATTTCCCTTGATAACACAATTAGATCTTTTCATTTATTGCAGTCAGGTTGTTTCTATTTTTCAAATATGTATTTGTTACAATAATATTTTCAATAATGTTTGTCAATAAAATATTACTAGCTTCAATAAACACAAGTATACACATTAATAAATATCCCGATTCTGTTTTATAACACGACGTCCGACACACACAAAACCCATCAAAATCTAAAATTTTCACAAGTACTTCTCCCTCCTAAAGCGAGGAAGTGAATAATCAGGAAAAATGCTATTAAGAAGAGAGGAAAAATATGTGTAATGTCGTACTGTCCCTATACAATTTTATGAAGTACACAGAGATGAAATTTAAAATTGAAATGGGTCATTGAGTCTTCATACCTTAAATCTCCGAAATATCCTGTTGTACGCACCGCAGAATCACTACTGAATTTTACCGGTGTACGCGACCACTTAAATAAGTAAATTGTTATATCAGAATATAAACAAACCCAGAAACAAATGCAAGTCACTAGATGATTCAATCGTGACAGTTGTAAAAAATGAGATGCGCCTAAAAGCGTGCTTTTACAGCTCATTACTGTTAATGAAGAACTGAGATGAAAGTGCTCTAAACATTAATAAAACTATGTAATGTGGATAATTTTAGCTCAGTGAACCGGAATCCGTCTGCTTCCAGAATAACTGGATATACTGCTTTCCTTCGAAAACTTAACAGTTTAGCGGTAAAAGTTCACAATGGAATTTGTCTGCAATGATTAAGTTTTTACTTCCCACGTCACTAGCAACCAGTATTGTTATTGTGAAAATTTTGAAATGGGGATATCATGTTTTTTGGATGCTTTTTTCCATGTTTCAGAGGCTCCTGATGATTTAAAAAAATGTTTGACAGGAGGTAAAGATTGGAGTTGGCAGCTGTAAGAATATATCTCATTTTTTTGGCATTGTATTATGGCACATTTAACATCCCGGTAATTCTACGCACCTATGAATCATATTTCACACATCAGTGATTTCCCTGTCAAATCGCCCTGAAAGCTGAATGAAGTGGAATATTTCCAACGCATGCCCTTCTGGATATACCTGCGTTGCGGTCTGACCAATGGATGGCTGCCGAGGCTATTCATATCAACGCTGGTCGGTGGCGTCGGTAGATCGCAATATTGTCAAATGCGTGAAGACTTTAATGACCTAATGACTTGATCTGTTCTATTTTTCTGTTACACATTTTCGTAGCTAACTTTTTCCTCAGACGGGCGTTCTTGTGCGGAACATAATCTTTTATAAACTGAATAACTTATGTGAGAAGTTCAGAGTCAACCTGCTTGATGCCATCATTTGATTTGCTTGCTATATCCGTTGACTTACGATATAAGTGCATGAGAAATAAAGGTAGAGTTAGTTGAGAATCATATTTTTATGGAAAAGAGTATATCTTGTCGTTACATACATATAAAGTGTACCGTATAATGTACTCGTATGTCTCACAGTAATAGTCTACGAGTAATTTTCTCTGACACTCAAGGTGTTTGTTACATTTTATATCGATATCTGTGAGCAAATATTTACTCCATAGATAAAATATTAATAGCAGTTGCATTAAGAGCATAAGTATGCCTATTTTTTTTGTTTACCGAGTTTTAAGATGTTTACTGTTACAGCAAATCCACATAATTTGGATTAAGAAGGTGCTTGGATTACGTAAACTTTAGCACCATAATATTATTTTGCCCTCATTCCTAAGTATTAAATAAGAGCCTATGAGCAGCCACTGTGCCCTTGTATGTCACATCAGATTGAATGCGAAGCAGTTTTAGGCACCAATAGGACTACATCAAAAATCAGGTGTCGTGATTTAAACCGTGATCGCTTGGCCGCCATATTTAAAAATGGCCGCTAGATTCTGAAACGATTATTCAATATAAATATATTCGTAACCAGGGACGATTTTAACCTTTTAAGGTCATTTTTGACTCCTTTTCTAAGAACAAAACAGCTGGCTGATGCCCCTATGCTATATCCCCGTCACGCTCACGCAATGCCCCCTGAAATGCTTCGGGATTCTATTAAAAAACGTTTGAAGATCAACTTTGGCAGCACAAAATTTTTGGCTTTTTCATATTGTTTTTCAGTCGAATATTTCGCATATTTCGCACATTTCGCACTTTTGCAAATACTAAATTTCTATGTCATGAAAACTATTAACTATTAGACAAAAAAATTATAGGAGCCTTTTCAAAATGAGCAAAAAACCAAAAAAGCTTTGCCTGGAGCAAAATTTAATTTTTGGAATTTGTTCAAGGTTTAAAAAATTGCTCAAAATAATCCATTTATTTATTCCATTTTTGGTGAAAGAGTTATCCGAAACGTGGAACTACAATTTAGTTGTATTCAAATTATCAAGATTACTACACATTGGGCTTCGTGAATCAATACTCTGCTACCCTTATGTTGTTTTCCTGGCCGTTCACCTGTTGGATCGATATTCACGTCACTGTCAACAAATACGGTAAGTCATACACATGATCTCGATTGTCAACAAGCATGGAGTTATCTGTCACAATTTCACCAAGCGGAGATATCAACAAGAATATTTTTAAGTTGAAACCTCCTAGAAAAGATGGGTGAGTAATAATTACAGTAGTTCATTACATGCCCTTAGCTAATGGTATAGCGAAGCTAATCCGCTAAAGTTACACTGGTGTTCCTTCTGAGGCATACTATAACCAATACAGTGCATCCACTTTTCTGAGCTTCTGTAAAGGTATTTGTGGCAAATCTCAATTTGTTGACCCTCTCTTTCCTACTCCTCATTATTTTTTTAAATTTGCGATTTCATTGGGGCTTCGAGTTCTCTTATTTAATATTTAGATTTTTAAGTCTGTTACTCGTCGAAGTTGTATTTCACTTTCCAATTTGGCTACGCTATACGCATTCACAACTGACTGATACGATTATTCTGAGTCGAAAATGTCGACAAACAGTTCTTAAACACCTCTATCCGCTTTATGAGGTTCGTAGGACCTTGGTTAAATTCTTGTGGACCAGTAATTTTACCAGGTCTGGAATCCCCAATACCAGGCTGTCAGGGAGAAAGGAGGGAAGAAGGAATGAAGGAAGCGAAAAAGTAACGATTTCAAGTCGATCTTAAACATTTTGAAAGCATCGTTCTTTCAGATTGCTCTTGAATATTCATCACAGCAAGCCAAACAACAAAATCCGCTTCATCCACACCGCTTTCCATGATAGAGGCCACGTTCTAGCTTCAGCTGACAACGAAGGGAACTTCTACATCGTGGACTTCCACACTTGCAAGTACTGGGGACTTCCAAAATTAGACTCCTGCACCTTCCTCAGGTTTTCAGCCTACAGACCTGATGAGTTACTTTGTGGTAGAAACAATGGAGATGTGTACGTTGTTCACTATGAAAGTGGAACGGTTACCGGAACGCTCTGTGGACACAAATCGCCGGTTAAGGTACGTTTATATTTCAACAAGCTGCTCGATATATTGCGCGATAGGTTGCAGCACATGATCCGACATATACAGTATACTGCATATTTTGTTACTGGCACGTGTTTTGCAATATGTTGCAGACTATTTCTACTCCAAAAAATTAAGGGCACACGGCTCTCAATATGTTGCATCTTGCTCCGCAACATGTTGCAGGGCATATCTCGGTACATATGACGGTTTGGAATGGAAATATTCTGCTACATGTTGTGAAACAAGTGGCAAACATGTGCCAAGTAATTGTGGCTCACGGTATGTGCCGCAACATGTTCCCCAACCTACTTACGTATTTTTAAGGATGCCACGTTCGGTGGGAAGAGTGGTTGTTTGACCACGTCGCAGTATGAGGCCATTGTGTGGAGTCTTGAGACGAACACTAAGATACAGGTGTTGAATTTGGAAAAGAATAATGCTTTGAAACATGTGAGTATTTTATACGGCAACCGGCGGGGAAGTACTGTAATAAGAAAAATTTTCTAACATGGGAAAGTACGCTTCTAGATGTTATATGGGATTTACTCTTATATCACGAGAAACCATGTCCCTTCCTCTGCTAGCAATTCTACGCACCCGTTAGGCACATGTCACACATCATAGATTTCCCCATGAAACTTAACATGATGGAGGAGTATTTTCATCACGCGTTGAATGCAACCCAACGAACGTAGACATACTTTCGCTGGGGTCTGATCGAAGTCTAACCAACAGGGGGCCAGTGAGTGTCGAGGTTGGTCATAGCAATGTTGCTAGATTGTCAGAATCGCCGGTATGGCAGCTCAGAAATGTCTAGATCGCAAATGGGTAGGGAATATGAAATAAATGTATGGCCCAGTTTAAGTGACTTGATCCATTTCATTTTTTCCATGTTCGTAGTTAGATTTTTTTAGCAAGGTCTCACGGGATCTTGTCCTTAGAATGTCATCCTTCTACCATGGATGTTAGGTTTCTGTCACATGTAAGGAAAAAAACTTTTATTATCTGACGTTGACAGCTTGATATGGAATGTCTGCTCATGCTCCATCGGTACTCGGAATGAAAATTGAAACCTATTGGCTGATTACATTGGTAGGAAATAAAGGGGATTTAAATGGCATTTCTTTCAATGTATGGATTTAAATTTAATTTTTGGCAACATATGGTAAGTAGCAGATGAACGAGGATAAACTGTATCATCATTGAAAAATGTATGTAAGCAATAACGAAATGTCAAGATAAATCTTTTCTCATACCCCTATACAAATAATCATAATTGCGATGACTGTTTTTAGGTAGTGTTCATTCCGAAATCAAACTACACACTTGCTTGTTTTCAAGACGACCTGATACAAGTCTGGGATAACACAGACTTCGACTGTATCAAGCAATTTCTACCGATAAACTGGAAGAATTATTCTGTTAAAAGCATTGCCTTTACAAAGTAAGCATGTTGAACAATATGGATCACGATTTATTATAGAATAATAGTGTTTCTAAACGGACAATATTTTTAATGCATTATTTACCTGCAATAGATAAGCCAGCAACATACTGCGACATTTTTAGTATGGACTGGCTATATAAGCTGGACCTGTTTGGTATTAGTGATGTATACGTATGTATATTGATATCTGATTGCCGAATGATCCGAATCCTACGTAATACGTAATGAATTGTAACGAAAATACCGTCTTTACAGTCCACAGACTAATTTATTACTATTAAATCAATTTATCACACTTGCAACAATTTATAATTCAGAACCATGTTGTCTGGACTACGGCTTCTCCGTCCTGTGATGAGTCATTGCCCATCTGATGAAAAGTTGTGACAAGTGTATGTATGTGTTGCCAATATATAGCTGAAATAGCAGAGATATACAAGGTGTCCTGTATCGTTATGTTCAAATTTTAGGAGCGGAAAGTACACTTCTTTCCAGGTAAAAGAAACGCAAAAGTTGTATATCCATTTTTATTTATTGCAACGTTACACGCCCATGAATGTTATTTGAAGATAATATCAAAAATAAATTCGTAAAGTAAATAAAAAATGGTTTTATTTAAAAAAAGGTCAATTGATAATGTTTTCAAAGTATCCACCTCCTTGATGAATGCAGGCTTATGCCCTTAGGCCAACAGATGACGTAGTTATCTGTATTTGGCCCTGTTTTGTCGTATTTGTTCAGCAGCCTGCTGGATACGCCCCAATAACTCTTCCCTTGTATTTTAAACTTGCGCATAGACTTTTTATGTACCCCCATAAATAAAAATCAAGGGGATTGTGATCGGGTGATCTAGGGGGCCAGGTAACAGGGCCACCTCGACCGATCCGCCTTGGATAGTTGCCGGTAACCCAATGTCGGACAGCAATTCCGAAATGCCTCTACCGCATTTCCCCTCCATTTGGAACCACATGTGTAGGGGAATATTCAGGTGGGACATCCTCCAAAAGTCAGTGCAGTCCGTCCATAAGAAATTGAAAGTAACTGTCCGCGTTCAACCTTGTAGGAAGCACAACAGGAAAAATAAACAAATCATCGATTAGGGCAACCCAAACATTAATAGAAAATTCATATTAAAAATTACAGGGACTTACAGCTTTGGGATTTTCTGATTCCCACCTATGCAGGTTTCTCAAATTTGTAATAAGCCGCTTCATCTGTCCAGAGGACTGTTCTGCAGAAATGAAAATTAAGACGGGACTGTCTTAATATCCAGGTCGAACACCCTAGACGAGCATAGTTATCTGCCTCAAGCAAACCTTTCCCCTACGATAATAATACGGATGCAAGCCTTAACGTTTTAAAATTCGCCAAACGGTCATTCGCGGTAGTCTGACTTGTCTACCGACTCGACGTACACTGATAGTTGGATCTCTTACAACAGCAACTAATACTTGTTGATCCAAGTTTGCCGGCAAGCTCACTCCCCGATAGAAAAGATAATCTCGCAGTCCGCATTCCCGAAATTGTCTGTGTAGTTGCATAAATGTTCTGTAATGAGGAGTGCGTCTATTTGCAAAACCGATGTCGATATTCGATAACTGCTTGACGAGCACTGCCGTTACAGTAGCCATACACAAAATGCATGTCTGCGTACTCTTCAGAAGAAAATCGCTAGAGTATTTTGATAAAGAAAACGTCACTCACTAAGAAGTTGTGGCTGCACTTAACATTGATTGCTTCTATGACAATAATTGTTAGTTGCTGCTTTGACGGCTGATTGATTCGTATGATTGCGATTACTAATAACGTGCACGCAAGGATATGTTCCGAGAACAACTGCATTATTATTATAAAAAAAATGTAGTAGTTTTTATTTACTTTACCACTACATTTTTAGTATTATCTTCAAATAACATTCATATAACTTTGAAATAAATAACAATGGATATAGAAGTTTTGCGTTTTTGTTACTTGAAAAGAAGTGTCCTTCCCGCTGCCAAAATATGAACATAACGATACCTTGTACAGCCGCGCCACATGCTGCAATACGTTCATGATGTCTGGGCTACAGTTGCGATAGTTATGTCCAAATGTCGCAGTACAAATATTGCTCGTCTAAATGAATGTCACATGATCAGTATTTATTGTGATCCGCCAGTATTTATTATGGATTGTGAACGACGGTGTAGCCTGGACATCATACTCTGGTACCTATGAGTTCATCATGAGTGAATTGGAAGAAGCTGAAGCGCACCTCAAAACAGGTGAGGTACCAGGAATCGACAAAATGCCAAATGAGAAGTGCTGATTAAAGAAATGAATGAAATCGTGCTCTCTGTGATAAATGAATGCTTGATAACAGGAATGTTTCCGAAAAGATGGAACTCATCCCGAAACCTCTGAAACCATCGATGAAAGAAGACAAATATCGACCTTTGGGTATGCTGAGTTCACTAGGAAAGCTACTAGAACGACTGATGGAAGGTAAAAGACTATCGAGCAAAAGAACGTGCTGTCTTCCTCACAATGTGGGTTTAGAAAGAAAAGTTCATCAGAAATACACTCAGTGTAGTGGTATAGCTGGTGGAAGCAAGTAGATTAGTGTTATGATTGCTTTTGATGTTAATAATGCCTTCAACATGACACAATGGCGGAAAATCGTTGGATCTCTCGAGTAACTAGGCACCAATAGCTATCTACTAAACATGACAAAGAGCTACTTTAATGAGAAAACAGCAATAGTAGAGCAAAAAATGATGAAGATAGCGCTGGAAGTGTCGCAGATCTCCGCCCAGGGCCGTTGCTATGGAGTGACTCTACTATGGGTCTTTTCTGTTGCAGTTGCTGCCAAGAGTTCGCCTGATAGGGTATGCTGACGACCTTGCGATAATAGTGACTCGCAAGGAGAGAGGTATACAATAAAGACCTTTGGCATATGGAATTACGAGAATTACCATATGGATTGGAGAAAATGGCTTGAAATTAGCTCCTCAAAAGACGGAAGTGGTTACACTTTCTGGCAAACAGAAGCTAACTTCAGTAACTGTTAAGGCTGATAATGCCAGGATTTTAGCAGGAGTGTCAAAAATAAATATAGGCAGTTAATGCTCAGAAGCAGCAAAAAGTAGTGGTATGCTTTTACCGAATTGTGTCGACAGATGCTCTGTTGGTGGTGGCTGGTATCGCGCCTACTGACTCGCTGGCTCAAGAGCGACAAAAGAGAGGCCCTTTTTGTCGGATAGCAGGAGAGATAGGAAACTTGAATTGACAAGGGATCGGTGCGTAGACTGCACAGGACTACATGGTTGTTTTTAAAACTACCTGAAGAGGGTAGAAAAGAGAATAAGCGAACTACGAATATTGCGACAAAGAGGAGGATACTCCTTATCACCTACTTGAATGTGGTAGATGGTTTCACTGTCAGAGATAGTTGGAATTGACGGTCATAATGACAGACCGAGGAACCAATAATAGGTTTCTACTAGCTGGGCTGTAAATGGGTGCTTATACAGGGTGACTTCGAAGTTGAGTCATTTATTTTAACAGTGAGTAGATCTGATCAAAAGAAATGTTTTTTTCCTTTACCATTTTTCTGGTAAAATTAAAGTAACAAAGTTATAGCCCTTTGGAAGTTTGAGTACCGCCCTGTCTCAATAATAATATCATGTGCTCGTGTTTGGCAACAACGGATATAATCCGCCTTACCGGTTCATCGCATCGGAAACAAAAAAGCGAAAGAATTTGGAACGAAATAAAAAATGGCTCATGTTTATGCGGATCGGTTTCCCAATCGAGTGCAACCAACCCCTCGTGCCTTTGTTAATGTAGTACAACGGGCTCGTGAATCAGGTGACTTAAGACCTCACAGGGGACCTCACGATCAAATACAGGTCCGCACTGAAATACTTGTCGGGAGGATACTTTATAAAACAAGGTAAACATTTTTTTTTATTTTTTTTTATTTTTACACACATATTCTGGTTTATCTTCCTTCTACAATCATTATCTGAAAATTAATGACTCAACTTCAAAGTCACCCTGTATATGTATGTGTACGATGCTGAGAATAAGATGACTCAATACCTCTGGTATGAAGATTTAATGCTATACCCTGGTGGATGTGTAACGAACGATTAAGGAGTTTTACCCGAGAGTAGCTATAAAAGCTTCCACCTGGACGAGAGTAATTATTGATGTATATGGTTACGTAAATATTCGCTGGCAGAGACTGAATCGTCAGTAAATACTAAATACTGATGGTGCGGACCACAGTAAATACTGATCGTGTGACATTCACCTTAGAGGCTTCATAAGAATCATTTATATATTTCTGGAGCTATTATTTCTAAAATTGCACTGTTTCAGAAACGGGCAAATAATGGTTGTTGCAGGATACCTCCCAACCCTCGTGATTTTCTCACTAGATCACTGGAAATTACTGAAAATTGTCAATTTACCTGAACACATCCATACGGTGAAACATGTGGAGTTTGTTCAGAGACCATTTGATGGGGGATGCAACAGGATCTTGGCAATATTATCAGGTAAATAAAGCGTTTAGATTTCACTTAATTTTTTTCACTGTAAGGAACAAAGCCTTTTGACATATTGATAGGACAGGATCTGATATTGAGTGTAAGGTATTTTACCTAAATAGGTATAGCAAAGCATATACTATATTTCGGTGTCTAAGAAAGAAACTGAAGGATACTAGCATCATCTATGAGGCAGTAACAGATCCCAAAAATGAATTTAGTTTTTGTTAAAAGAGTTAGAGTGCTATTATCTCATAGGTGACGCTAGGATCTTCAATATATTTCTAGCCTCTCTAATGCCTATTTTAATTGGGTGTTTTCGGAATACATGAATTCCTGAAGATACCCAATTGAAATATGAATTAGATTTTCCAGTTACTTAGGTTACACCCGGTATGTATGCTGCTAAAAATATGAATTTCTCAATGTAGGCTTGATTTCAGGTCAAGGGATGATCTATTTTTACAATGTGGAAGAAAACGCTATCACGAGTCAACTAACCACACAGTACGAAGTCAGCAAATTTTCCCTTTGTCCCAATGGAAGCTATGTAGCTTGTGTTCTTTGCTCTGGAGATGTTGAGCTGTACTGCTTGTCAAATTATGTTGAATGTATTACTGAAGACGAACCTTGTGAAAGGAAGGTTTATGTCAAAGCCAAGAGATGTGCCAAAAAGATTGGTCATGTCAAGGAACAGGTATATTTTTGACACTTCAAGCTATTAAAAGGTTTTCAGCTATAGAACGTCTCAGAATAGGTGATTAATCTCGCGAAAATACATAATTATATGGAAAACAAAAAAAAAATGTGATCAAGGTTCTTCTACGGAGCTTTGTCATGGTGATACATGCAAATTTCAATCCTACGGCCTCCCAGAGAATTACGGGCCCTCATCTTCATTCCACAAGGTCCACGCGGGTATTCCACAGGGATTGATCTTCATTCCGACATTTTTTCCATTACATATCAACAACAACTTTTCATGTGCGATCGAATCGATTCAAACTTTTGCTGATGACAGTTTAATGATTCTAAAACACAGTACCGTATCTTGTCTAACAAGAAGTGCCCTAGCGATCATCCGGTTTCGATAGATGCCTGAGTTTTACCAAAGAGCCTTTTTTTTCTGGTTGGAGTCCAGATCGCGGCAGCTGCTGGGAAAACGCCAGGCTATTTGTTTACTCTGAGAAATATCATTCACCACGTAACATCCTCTGTACAAGTCCCAGATTAGACCCAACCCAGTACTGCTCACATATTTGGGGAGTTGGTGCCGCGACTACATCATCTATAGTCAATGCTGTTCAGAGGAAAGTAGTCCGACCGATCGATGACTCTTCTTCAACAGACAGTCTCGAGACCCTTTTTCATCAACGGACTGTCAGCGGTCTGGCTGTCCTCTACCTCTATGTCAACGGGCTTTGCTCCTCAGATCTTCTCTCGATGATGCTGCCACTCGATGGGCCTGTCAGAGAGACCCGCCTGACTTTTCAGCCTTCCATCCTCACCGTGTCGAAAACTAGCCGCTTTTTTGTCCCTGGCGTGTCGAGATTGAGGAACACTCTGCCTGAGCAGAATTTCCACCGGATCTACTAACCTTAGGATTAAGTCTTTAAGCTCTTTGTAAGCAGCCACGATGCCCCGGTATTCAGGTTTCTGTCTACTCGTCTGTTTCGTGAAACAAATACAATTCCCCAAAGAAAACTCTGAAATTTACATCAAATGACTATTGAACAACACTGTATAATTTGACGAAATTGTCAATAAAAATCGAACTTTCGCAAAATGGGAAACAATTGACTCATTTAGATAACAAGGACGAACTGCCACTAATGAATTTTTCACTCCCTGTGTAATAATGGCTCAAAATTCATATTTTTGAAAGCTCATTAGCTTGGCCAAGAAACCTATTGTTTTTGATTTTCATAAGCTGAGCTTTCTGCATTAATATAATAATATAGCACATGATATTGTTTTCTAGATTAGTGAAATTTTGGAGATCAACAAACTTAAAGCAATACTGGCCGAGTTCGGAACATATCCTGAAGCTCACAGAACAAAAATTTGGGAAAAGCTCCTCAAACTTCCTAACAACATCCAACAATACAACAGCATAATAAACCATGTTACTGTAGTTGCTTTCCAGGATTTGAAGCAAAAGTATCCTTTGGAGAATAAACTTCTTATGAAAAGTTTAAAAAAGTTGTTGAACAATTTAACGACTTGGAATTCGTTTTTCGCTATTGTGGATTATATGCCAATTTTTGTATTTCCCTTTATAAAGGTTTTCAATAACAAGCCTGTAGCTTGCTTTGAGGCTATATGTACTATAATATGTAAGTACGACTAGAACAAATGACAAAATACATTTTAAAAACAAGCTTTTATTTAGCTGTCAAAATAAGCTAAAGCTCAATAAATCGTTTTTCTTATTAGAAATAATATACTTCTTAGCCTTTAAAGAATGTTGAAGCTCCTTCAGGTCAAGTATTCAAATAAAAGCATATTACGTTTTGGCAGCAAGGAGGAAAATTTTGTATAACGATTTCATTTGAAAACTTGAGAGTAAGAATCTTCAATATCGTTTAAAGCTTAAGAAGTGTAAAACGTCAAATTTCTAATTAAAAAGGATTGACTCTGAACTTCTAGTTCGTGTTAATGGCTAAATAAAAGTTTGTTTTTACAAAGGTATTTTTCACTTTTTAGTATTTATGTCGTATAACTAGTTCAATAATTTCATAAAACTTCTAAATTTATTTACATTATAAAATTTTGATGGATATAAATCACATGATACGTAAATACGTGATACGTACTTATATCTTTGAGTATCCTTGCATAATTCATCAAAAAAATGAAGCGTACGTATATTTTACATACATAATCATCATGGGATCAGAGTATTTGTCAAGGAGAATCAAAAACTGTCACTTTTAGAGAAAAGTTTTGAACGACATTTTTTCTGTTCAGAATGGCTTTTAACTACTCTGTCCGGAGCAAAAAAAGAATTTATGGAATTGATTTAAAAATTATTTAAAGAATTTTTGACGCAGTTTTGGTGTGGAAACATGCAGATTAGTTAAAAAGGGTCATTTTTTAGTACGATTGCGTAAACCATCCGATTCAGAATATTTTTCTAGCAAATGCGAGAATATTAATTAATATATTCGCAAAAACACGACATTGCTAAGAAAATATCCGATATAGATCTGATGCAGGTACGAATAATCTAATTTTCATGTATTTTTTTTTAGGCAACTGGTGCCAACACTTCTTCGAGTACCATCCTCTTGCACCAGTGAACATTCTGGCCATGATAGAGAACATCCTTTTAGAACATGACCCAATGCTACTTCACCATTACTCTTTACACAAAGTGACCGCCCATATTTACGCTTGGCCACTCCTAGAAAGCGCTTTTTCCGAAGTTCTCACTGCTAGCGAATGGTTGCAACTTTGGGACCATATTCTTACTTATGAAGTATCTTTTTTCCATTGCGTGGTGGTTAGTACTTCAGGCTAGAGAAAGTGTCCTAAGCCGGAATCAGTTGGTTGCATTGGCTCCGCATTTTCTGGAATTCCATTATTGAAGTGGAACGCACACGAAGCTCGCCGCACTTATTACTTTTTCTTTTGCAAATCAGATTAGTGTGACGCGAGTTGCGCGTGCGCTCCACCACAGCTTGGTAGATACCTAAGCTACTATTTACACTTGGCAATAATGTTAAAGGTATCAAATAATGTAGAGCTGATAATACCACGGCACGACTTTAGGGGAGTCCGGCTTAGGGATTTTCCTCTATCATTTTAAACCCCTATTTACATTTCAGTTAACCGATACCGGATAACAGCCAACCTAATACTATGTTCTGGTGTCCAAAAATATCCGAGATAAAATGAGGTACCATAGCGTCATCAAAAATAACTTCTCACAGTTGTATCTTTCATTACTATACAGGGTGGCCCATCTATAAACAAATACATTTTGGGAAAATCTATTAATGGGATGTTATACATGACATTTGAGGACATATTTCTAAAATATTGGCCATTATACAGGGTTTCTCAATTTCGACCTACATATCAAAGTTGTGATTTTTCAAATGGAATGCCTCAAATTTTATTGCATATTTGGATAAACCAATTCAAAATAAGAAAATTGAAATAACATACTACGGAGTTCTGGTAATTAGCTACTGAAATATAAGGTGTTTTGTCTAGAAAAACCCACCACTTCGGCAACCCCTCAGTCCGCCATTTTGGAATCTAGAGTGCTGATTTTGTATAAAATAAAAAATTAAACACCTCAGCTTATATCATATTTGTTACTTTTTCGAATTTTAATTTTTGCTCATACAGGTGGTCAAACACGCAAATTGTAGTTTTACTCAAAAATTTCAAATGCATCACTCTGAATATTTGGGCAAGTTTGGATCCAATTTTTTATAAACTCTTTTTTGATACTAGACCCAAGGGTTTTTACGGCTATTTTTTCGGTTATTTGTACGTCTTTTATGGAACGGCTTAATTCCCTAAAATATCGCATCATCCTTGGAAGCAAATAAATTGCTGATTAGTTACAAACTGTCAAAACTAGCTTTGTGAGCATTATAATAAAAACGTGTTTGAAAATGAATTTTCTAAAGAAGAAATGTTGAAGATGGTGTTCGTTTTGGGCGAAGCCCAAGGAATAGTTTCCTAGCATCTCGCATTTATAAGCAACGGTACCCTATTATGCGACCATCCAAGGCCGGAAACATATTCCACACTACGAGAACGTTTTGAATCAAGTGAATCAGTGGAATATACTAAAAAATGTCCAATGCTAAATAAAGTGAGTGAAGGCCTATTTTCCTGAGTAAGGTTCTTTTTAGCGATGAAGCAACTTTCAACAGGCATAACATGCACTATTATGCGACGGAAAACCCGTACTGGGTTAGGCAAATAGATTTCCAAAATAAATGGAGCTTGAATGTCTTGGGAGGAGGTATTGGCAGACAAGTTATCGGACCTTTCTTTTTCGACAACAGATTAACAGGTTAACATTACTTAAATTTTTTGATCGAGCATTTGCTTTTGCTTTTTGAGGATGTCAACCTGCAAACTCGGATGCATAAGTACTTCCAACATGACGGCGCACCTGCGCATTATCATGATCGTGTGCGTAACTATTTGGACACCTGGAGTAACAATCGTTGGATCGGTCATGATGGGCGTACATCTTGGCCTCCTAGATCATCAGATATGATACCAATGGACTTCTTTGTATGGGGCTATGTTAAGCAAGAGGTTTATAGATATCCACCATGTACCCCGGAAAGGGAAAGGATTAAGGATGCTTTTCTGAACATAAGGGAACACATGCTGAGGGATGTGCAACGGTCATTTATCCAAAGACTACGGCTGTGGTGAAGATATTTTCGAGCAGTTTTTGTAGATTAGGTCTTGAGTAGTGATAGTTGTTTGTTTATGTTGTTGTTATAGGTGTTTTTCTCTATTAGGCTTGAAGCTGATTTATACTGTTCTGATTGTTATCCGTTTTTACGAAAAATCTATACTCTTAGTAGCAATATGGAACTAGCCCACTCTTTGTCTTTTTTTTCAATGGATGATGTGATTTTGTTCCTTAATTTTGGGGTGTTGTTCTATTAAAAGCTTAATAACCCAAAATCTAGTGATTTTATCTAAATCAAACGTTATACTAAAAAAAAGCTTATAAAAAATCGAATCTAAACTTGCACAAATATACAGGGTGATGTATTTGAAGTTTTTGAGAGAAAGTACAATTCGCGTTTTAGACCACCCTGTATGAGCAGAAATGAAAGTTCGAAAAAGTGACAAGTAAGATAAAAGCTGAGGTGTGCAAGTTTTTTTTGACACAACATTCAGAACTCCCAATTTCAAAATGGCGGATTGAGGGGTAGCCGAAGTGGACGGTTTTTCTGGACAAAACACCTTACATCTCAGTAGCTAGTTACCAAAACCTCATAGTATGTTATGTTAATCTTCTTTTGAATTGGTTTATCCAAGTATGCAATAAGATTTGAGGCATTCTATTTAAAAAATCACAACTTTGATATGTAGGTCAAAATTGGGACAACCTGTATAATTGCCAAGATGTATTTGTTGATGAGTAATCTTCCGACCACACAAATATGGGCCACCCTGTATATGATCATAGACAAGCATATAGGTGGCTACAGCACAATCTATAAGATAATAGCCTCTTCAAAGTATATACAGGACGTATAGATCTTGAAAAAATAAGCGGTTTTCCTAGTAGCATATATACCAAAGTCTTAAGATAACCTATACAGAGTGTCCCAGATTCGCTTCTCTATACAGGGATCTCGGCTTCTGTTATACTTACAGCAAAGGTTGAATGGGGAAAATTTTAGAGGAAACTTAGTGCAGATTTACGGTCAATTGGTTTTTAAATATCGTCGAAAAACTGGAAAGGTCGAATTATGCTTTTTGCCAGTGAATCCGAAACGGTTAATTTGGCAGCTGTCAAAATATGACATTATTCGGACTTTTTTTAAGGCAAATACGATACCGTATATGACATGTCTCAATCGTCTTTTGTTTTTCCTTAACCTGCCTCAACTTTAATTTTTCTTATGACCGGCATATTGGATTTTTCGATTTTTGAAAAGAGCGTAAAATTTACAGTCTAGTGATGTCTCACAGGTGCATAAAAAATAGGAGTATCATCGAAATATCATCATACGTAATATTGCCCATTATTTTTTTTAAGAAGGCCATGACTTATTTCTCAAAAAATAACATTGATGGGAAAGGCATAAGAAACACATAAACGTCTTGAATTCTCAATAGAATATTAACGTTCATATCGACTTCTCAATAAGTCAAATGTTTTGGAACAAATTCCCAACTATGAGTGTGTTAAAAAAACAAGTCAGAAAAATCGTCGTAATTTTTTTCATCTAAGGAGGCTCTGACTTTGGCGTTAAATAAATCAAAGTATTGAAATTGTGTTTTAATGAGTAGCAGGTACGTTTTCTATCATGAAAATCATAAATCTGACAAAAAATTGTCAAAACTCCATACCCAAATGAAAAGTTTGACATGTTAGCACTGTACTTGCAGTCACACAGAAATGTTGGCATTACCTCAGCATGTACTTGGAGATGTACCCTGAACGATGGCAGCCTCATAAAACTCAATTTAGGAAAATAGTAGTTAATTTCACAAACCATGGGGCCTTCGAACAACCTAGAGGCGGATACAATATTGAAAGTGAAAATCGCGATAGAAACATTTTACAAGCTGTCAACGAAATCCCTAGTACATCAGTAAGAACTATAGATCGAGAAATTGGTGTGTTAAAATCAACAGTACAGAGTTTAAAATGAGAATTAGTACCATCCAAACAAACCTACAATAGTTCAAGAAGTTAAAGCAACTGACTTTTCAAGGCGAATGTGCTTCTGTTAGTGGTATACTAGGAGGTCTAATAAGAATCTCGAATTTGTAAATCGTGTCTTGTGGTCCGATGAGAGTAGGTTTGCGAATTGTGGAGTTTTTAATAAACACAGAACTCATCATTGGCTATGGAAAACCCTCACGAAGTGGCAGAGAGAAGTCTACAGACCAGATTTGGAACTAACGTTTGGTGTGGGGTCATTGGTGATTTAATCTGACCTTTTTTAAATGGGCACCTATTTGAAATTAGGTATTGATCATTTCAGGAAATCCACTTATAGGACCATTTTTGTTTGACTACAACCTATTCAGACAGAGATACCTACAGCTTTTGCGAAACCAGGTTGTGTCGGCTTTACGAGCTAGTCTAACCGAAGATAAGTTTAGAAGAACCTGCATCCAACACGATGGATGTCCGACTCACAACACCAGTCAAGTCAGGAATTTCTTAAGAGCGCAGCTTGATGAAAGAATACCTTCATTAAATGGTTCAATTTCTTGGCCTCCTAGATCCCCTGACCTTTCACCCTGGGATTTCTCAGCTCTGTGGTTACACAAAGAATGAGGTCTATGAATTTGATCCACCCGCGACTATAGAAATCCCGAGACAAACAAATTTGGCTTACAGTTAGAAACATCAACCGAAATACACTAGCTAAGGTTGTACGAAAAACAGTCACCAATTGTCAAAAATGTTTGGATGCAAATGAACGTTATTTTGCAAATATGTAAATTAATACCCACTTACATATTTAGATTTTACATTACATTACAGTTTTGTAAAATGTTTGTTCAAGTGTAAAACAAATTTACGACGATTTTTATGACTTGTTTTTTTTACACACTCATAGTTGAGAATTTGTCCCAAAACATTTGACTTGTTGAGAAGTCGATATTAATGTTAATATTCTAGTAAAAATTCAAGGAGTTTGTTTTTTTATGCCTTACTCATTAATGTTATTTTCTGTCAAATAAATCATGGCCTCCTAAACTAATACATAACATTACGTGTGATGATATTTCGATGATACTCCAATAGACTGGATATTTTACACTCTCTTCAAAAATCAACCGTTTTGGATTTACTGGCAGTAAGTTCCGCCATTTTCGATGTTTCACTGATATTTTTAAATCAATTGACCGATTGTAAATTTGAAACCAGCTAAAGCACTAAGTTTCCTCTAAAACCTTCCTTTAACCTTTGCTGTAGGTATAACAGGAGCAGAGATCCCTGCATAGAGAAGGGAATCTGGGACACACCGTATATAAGGCACCGCAAAATCAATCAAGCCTAAACCAAACTTAATCCATTCCTGTATCTTGATGAGATAAAAAGTGAGAAGGCACAGGCACCGGCAGCGTAGGTAAACAAAACATTTGTTTACCAATCGGTTTGAAAAAGAAAAATTGCGCACTCGACATGCTTTTAATTTATGATGTCCGTTTTTCAAATGCTACCGAGGCTACACGAGTGAATGTAGATCGCTTTACCAGGCGCGTAGTTTTGTTTACAAGAGCTAAGGATACAGGTCATTTGAACAAATATAGAGATGAGCACAGTGGGAGACCTAGACAACCTTGAATGGTGCAAACTGAGGAAGGAGTATTGAATCTTGTGGAAGAAAATCCTTCAACAAGCACTAGGGAAGTGGCAAAACAAGTACAAGTCTACAAGACTAATGTGTGGTAAACGAAACATTTTAGCAACGGCGACAACTTTGAACAGTACTTGTGAGTCATAGAGCCGTACTAAATATCTCGACAAACGAATTTTATCTACGATAATTTTTTGGACGCGAAAATATGGTATTAGGTTGGATCTTCAGATAAAATGCGTTAATCAATTATTTACCTTAGGTTGCCTACAATATCGTCCAGAGACACATTCTATTATCGTTCAGAAGAACTGAAGATTTCGTGCTATTTTTTTACAACCAAAATCCCGTTAACATGAAACGATTACTCAAGGTGACCTTCAGGATACTCGAAGAAACGAGTAAAGACAATCATCCCAGGTATTCTAACAGCTAGAAGATCTTAGGCCTGGTTTTTCAATCGCAAGTTAACTACAACTTCTATGCTAACCAGAAGTTAACTCTCAAAAACCGTCTTTCAATGAGGTCGGTTATCCAACGTAAAGCGGTTCAGCGGTGCAGTGGTTTTATGCTGAAAAGCAGTAGCCATGGGATAGCTTTGTCAGTTTGACAGCAGTATTCACTTGACTGTCAGATTTAATAGTATATTCGTTAATGTTGCAAACTGTCAAAGTTGCTCCACGGCTACTGCTTTAACATAAAGCGCTGTACGGCCGGATTGCTGTACGCGGGCTGTACGGTCCCAACGTCCTTTTCTTTGTCTTCTCGCTCCTACCTCCTTCCTTTCTTTCTCCCTCTGCCCCTTCCCCTACAACTTGTCTGGTTTCTGGGCCACCGAGCCTGAGAGATGACAACAGACACTGATATTACAGTGACTATGACCCAAAGGCTAAGGTCCTCCGGACCACCTTGAGAAGCAGCGACGAGTAGTAGATCCCAACGTCAAGTTTGTCTTAAAGCGGTAGGTAACTTCAATCAGAGGACTATGTATGGGATATCTATAAAGTTGTGGTCAAACCGCGATGTCTAATCTAATGCGCGACACAATGTCATTGTTGTCATGGATGACACGAGACAAAAATACAGAATATGACGAGATACATAGAACATGATAGTTCAGGCATTAAAGCAGCGTTACCCCGTCGACTGTGGATTGTTAACCAGCTGGCTTATTACGGACAAAAGGCTAGAACAGAACTATGCGCCTTGGTCCGACTATAATATTTGTCAGGGTCTTAAGGTTCTAGCCCCACGATTTGGCCACGTCCTGAGGCGATCATAAACCTATTAAATACATACATGTTTTGAAAAATTTGTGTTCTACTTTTGTTCAGTACTCCAGTGAATTCCCACAATTGGTGATTACTACTATATCATTTTCATTCTTTAGTGCCTTTAGCGTCTTATTTTATGCAATGATTGTGGAGGTTCTTTCTGCACGTCCCACAAAAGTGTGATATTAAATATTATGGTACATTTATATTTAGATGTTTTTGTTTTCTATTCTAGCTAAATAACTTCTCAAAAAACATACTTATTTTTCACCATATGTATTTGGTATGTAGTATTGTAATTCTCCATTCGAAATGTGTTCAGAAATCATTTAGCTTTTAGAGACTCAGCTACATGAATAAAATTCCAACCAGACAAATATCGATTTTCTCATTTACTAGGGCTCACTTCATTCAACGACTTAGAAAGGACCAGATATTCTTTCTTGAGGATTTTCCTGCCGAATAGCACTTTAAACCGACCCATAATAATCCACTAGGAGATTAAACATACTATAGTTGTAGTCACCGTTCTTGGTGGTTTCGTCGTCATTAACGCCATATAAAATAAGTAAGCAGATCGAGTCTCCGTACCATGGACAGTGCACCTGCTACTCTCCCCAGTACGCATGAAGGGGGTAACAGGGGACCGCTTTTTCCATTCTATTCTTGGAAATGCTCTAATAAATGTAGCATTAGCTGTCGGCCTTCTCCATTGATCGTATTTCCGTGTATTATATAATTTTATATTGAAGATTGATAACAGGACAACTTGAGTTGCACGCCGATGCCAAGTGAGTTGTCATTCTGACAAACATGACTGAAGGGCACTTATTCGTCTTGACAAACTTTTCGAGACGGAGACACACAACTAAAAAACCTATGTCTTTGAGCTTACCGAACAAACGTTCAATTACAGGAGTAGGTTGCATGTGCATGTATGAGGCAGATGGAGATATGTGAAGATATACTGGTAGTCTTACTTTGACCCGCCAAGAACGGTGACTACAACTATAGCATTATACTTATCAGTAAATTGAGACACAGTCTTTCCGTTTGCTATTTTTTCGTAGCTGTCAAATTAGTTTTGATACGTCAGAATAACCGCCGGGTCTAAATCTCTTTTGCAACCTATGTCTAGCCGGTTATAAAATTACATAATGGCACTGCAGAATTTGGAAAACGCATTCGCAGACACCTGATGTTTAACTTAACCAAGTTATAGTTACCTAACTTGAAGGTTAACCAGCGATTGAAAAACCGGGCCTAAGGTGCATCAAGGTAATTTGTTAAAATTCTGGGACTAGTGTCTGTACTGTTCAAGACATCTATGTTTCTTGTTGATGCTTCAACTGTATTGACAATTTTGATAAAAAACAAGATAAACTTTTATATGTATTAAATATACTTACGTTGTAATGAAGTACTGACGTATTCCAGATGTTTTATACGTTTTTTCACAGGGAGTTTTTGACAGATTTCAAGGGTTTGGACATTGGAAATTATCCACTCTTTACAGAATATCCAAAGAGCGTAGTTGAATACCAATTGGAAGAAGAAAGAAAAATAGATGAAGAGTTGGAGTCCATAGTGATTAGCAGAGCGGAGTTAGATAACTTCAATAAGGAAGAAAATAAGGAAAAAGCTATCAGGCAAGAACAAGAAAAGAGGGTAAGAGGTACGTATAGTATTGTTAGATTATAGGAATTTACAAATTAAACGAAAATCTCCTATATTTCTTTTTTAATGAATCCAGGTAGCAAATCAACAACTTGACGGACAAGTATTTTGTCTTGACGTTAAAAATATCAGTTCAAAATTGCAAACTAGTGGCTGGCCATCTTCTACACAGGGTGTTTCAAATTTTACCCTCACCATTAGGATCTCGGGAACTGTAAGAGATAGCCGCTTGAATGAAGGCAAAGTTGCGTATTCAGGTAATGAACAAAATGCCGTATAGAAAGCTTCGAGATTCAAAGTACTTCCGGAGAGAGACGGAAAAAACAGAATTTTCCCAAAATCGTTTGGATTTTCCTGACATTGTTTGCAAAATTCAAAATAAATTGCACATTCGCATGTCCACTTTTCCTCTTCTAAAAGATGGCATAATTAGAATTTCAATAGGATGTTTCGTCTCTTGTCTTCCAGCATCAACTTTAATTTTTCTCACTGATTTTTGCACAGATAAATAGAGTTTTTAATTCTGATTCTAAAAATGTCCAAGACGTCATACATTGACAATGGTAAACTTTAGTTAATTCAAAAAAAGGCAAAATTTTCTAGGTAAACTTTGTTTCGCATACCAGATTTATCCCAAGATCATCTTAATTTTTTCCCTGATTTCTTTGAGATGAGATTCCAAAAAAATGTGCATTTTTACATTGCCACTTTTCTTCTCTACATGATGGATGATTATCACTTCAATAATATGACGTTTCGTATGGTTTTTAATTTTGACTTCAAAAATGTATGTCATTGGCATTACTAAACGTTAGTCATTCCAGAAGAACATAAGTTCTTAGGTAGACCGAGAAGACGAGAAGTAAATCGAGCAGTGAACAATGTACAGAGAAGAGTCAGGCCTCGCCAACAAAATAAGTGACAACATTTTGAACATGTGCTATGACTTATATTTCCTTATTTAGGATTATTACTTTTATTACCACTAATAGAATTTTCATTTTGTATTCAGGTTTCACTATAGTTTTTTATTTGTATAGATAACAGATAATCAATTACTAACTATTAATTATAAAAAACTTACTTTATTTTCTTCACCTCTTACACAAATAAATTACCGTTATATATTCAGCTAAATATAAAGAAAACAAATTTCCAAAATGAATATATATCACGTAAACTAAATCATAAATATCTCGGAATTGTTTTAGACTGCCATCTTCGTTTGGACGAACGTATTCAATTCATTAAAAAGAACTTGAGATTTCTGTTATACAAATTCAAATATTATAGACAAATTTTTAATGAAACTCAATACAAAAAATTATATCAAACATTAGTTAAGTGCCACATAACCTATGGAATTATTATCTGGGATCGGCAAATAATAAATATCGAAATTCTTTACAAATAATCAATTTATTGTAACTACTACGTTATATGTATGTTGTGTTAGAATGATACCCACATACAAGGATATTTTCCTTTTATGACATAACAATTTATTCACAATTTGTAATTGATGTGAATAAATTATTATTATTATTTCCTTATGTTCATCCACAAATTAATGGCCAACTAAGCAAATACATCACTGAATTTAGGACTGAAAAGTCCATTTTCATGTACAAAAATCCAATATGGCGTTAATATACAGGGTGGTGCATCGAAAACGAAACAGACGCACTTACTGGTCGATTTTGTTTTCGAGGGGGACACAAGTTTGGCAAAAAATCATGTTAGCACGTGCAGCCCTCTAAGCGGGGGTGACACCACCCCCAAAATCTTAAATGGAAAGGGGAGTCGAGTGATCCCTCATTTTAAAGGTCTTTCAACTCCCTTTATAATGGTATAAAATTGATGTACTTCAGTTCAGTAGTTTTGAAGATTTATTGATTTAAAGCTTAAATAAAACTAACACATCATCATTAGTGGAGATCAATACATTTGGCAGCAAAGTAACTTAAAAATGAAGAATGAACTGACCCGTTAGGCAAATAAATGTTGAAAATGGCCACCATGACTCTCCATGCAATAATAAAGATTTTGCTCAAAATGTTGCCGCACATTTTGCAATATTTGGGGAGTAATTTGAAAGCACTCATTCACAATTCTTTGTCGCAGGTTTTCTAATGATGTTGGCTGAGTAGCATAGATTTTGCTTCTTAAATGACCCCACATAAAGAAATCCATAGGTAATAAATCTGGCGATCTTGGGGGCCACTCAATGGCACCTCTTCTACCAATCCATCGATCTGGAAACGTCTGATCTAAATATTGTCGAACACGTAATGCGTAATGTGGTGGGGCACCATCCTGTTGGAACATCAACCTATTCACGTCTATGTCTAAGGCGTCTTCCAGTAATTCCAAATACATTTCACCGGTCAAATTTCCAGGTAAGAAAAAAGGACCAACTAAATGATCGCCAAAAATACCAGCCCACACATTCAATTTTTGTGGCTGCTGTGTATGAACCTCATGATAAATTCTGGGATTAGATTCGGACCAATATCGGCAGTTATGACGATTTACTACGCCATTTAAGAAAAAGGTACAATCGTCGGAAAAGGAAGTGTTGAATAAAAAACGTTCATCGTTTATAATTCGTTTACTCATATCTTCACAAAATTGTAATCGCGGTTCTTGTACCAGGTGAATTTTATACGGATGAAAACTATGGGCCTTTAGAATCCGTTGGACAGTCCGTAGAATAACACCACACACAGTCTCCAATTTGCGGGTACTTAATGTAGGATCTACATAAACTTGCCCTAAAATCCTCACTTCTATTGCTTCGTTCCTTATGGGATTTTCAATGTTGCGTTTTTTATTGGCGACTGACCCAGTTTCCCGAAATTTAGCTACAAGTTCTAGAACATATTTTCGATGCACGTTACTGTTCTCATGTCGCTCATTAAATATTTCTGTTATTCTATTAGCGCACTGATTATTTCCGAAAAATATTTCGATAATTTCAACTCTTTCTGCTGTGGAATATACCATGATTAATTTATGTAATAAAGCGTTATAAGTTATTTTAGCAACAAAGATGGTCAAATCAATCGCAAACTATGTACTAAATTCCTATTTAAAATAAGTACGAGATATTTCCTTATCTTTCTTCAAGAAATAACTTTTTTGCCACAAAAAAACGCTCCAATAGCTATTTTCAACAACAAAATGATAAACAAACCGTGGGCGTAGTGAAGAAAAGCATTCAATTATCAAGTAAATTCTTTTAGTCAAATTTCTTCTGAAAGTAGTACAAACTAATCTGATGTACCTATTAAATTCTACTGTAAGCTTTAAATCAATAAATCTTCAAAACTACTGAACTGAAACTCATGTATTTTACATCATTATAAAGGGAATTGAAAGACCTTTAAAATAAGGTATCACTCGACCCCCCTCTCCATTTAAGATTTTAGGGTTGGTGTCACCCCCGCCCAGGGGGCTGCACGTGTGTCCCCCTCGAAAACAGAATCGACGGGTCTGAGCGTTTAAAAAAAAGCTGAGCTGCCAGCAATTGTCTGTTTCGTTTTCGATGCGCCACCCTGTATAAAAAAGAAAGTTGGTGATGGAAGTCAAAAGAAGAAATATCGAATTGAAAATATCACTACGCCATCTTATAGAGGAGAATAAGTAACAATGACAACATGCAATTTATTTTGAAACCCCTCTCAAATAACGTCAGGAAAAAATAGAAGTGATTTTGGGATAGATCTAGTATGCAAAACAAATGACTATCTGATAATTTTAAAGCCTACCTAGGAAATGTGCTAAAATCCACGTCACGTTGAATTTCTATTTATTTTGAAATTACACTGCAAGCAAGATCAGGAAAAAATTAAAATAATTTTGGGAAAATTCGGTCTTTGCCGTCTCTCTCCGGAAGTACTGTGAATTTGTGAGCGGCATCTTGTTGACTACCTGAATACGCAACTTTGACCTCATTTAAGCGACTTCGTATCTCTTACAGTTTCTGAGATCCCAATGGTGAGGGTCGAATTTGAAACACCCTGTATAATACGTACAAGCCATATAACTATTAACATATTATTATGCATATGTTCCCACTTGTATAGAAAATATAACTTTCAGATCTGGGGTCATAGACAAGAAAGAATGACATACAGGTGTTTTGCATTATTTTTCTGCAACATTCGCTGTCCGTCTTGCAAACCTACTCAACAGTGATTGATGGTCGTATCCCAATCAAAACCGTCTGCCACTAGATCTAATAATTCTTATTGCACGACTTTATACATCTTAGGATACGGTTACTATGGATGCGATTTCTGAAAAAATCTAGTTCTGACGAATACGAGCAAGATCCTCGTTAGAACAAGGCGGTTACATTGTGTGTGTTGTCTGACATTTTGGTACTCAGTACGCTTGTGCCATCCAGCAAATATTTGACAAATTTTATTTTCTTGAAAGTCCTTTTCTGAAGTTACTGTTGCTAAACGGTGGAAAAGACAGCACGCCAATCCTTTATTTTCTGGTAGAGATGACAAAGGAAAGATTGAGAGGTTATTTTTCATAATATTTGTCTCTCGTACCCCGTATCTCACAGTAAAATGTTCTGACACAATATTGTCCATGGTGAAATAATCAAGTACGCAAAAAAAGACGCAGGTCGTACGAAAAAATCAAATTAATATGTTTGAACACTCAAATGGTTTTGATGACGTCGTGTATACTCTAACGCTCTGGTCCCTGCCATTGTAAGCACGTTCACTGGAAAAAAGGTGTTTGTTTATTTAGACGACTTAGTCAGAATTTGTCGGTACAAAATTTCATCTGAAATTCGCATCCAAAGTAACCCCTTGAGGCCCCTGTTAGACGTCGCTTGCATTAAGAGTATGAAGTTTGATTATAATAATAATGTAATCACTGATTTAGGCAAACGAGTATAACTATTTTTCTTCATGAATTCTTCGATGGCAGCAGTGGCTGCCAAAATTTACATTTGAACTTTGAAGGGCTAACTGACGTGGAAGTATTGTAATCACTAATAAGCTAAGACTGATTTCCGTCGGTTTGTCCGCTAATTCTATAACTACCTATAACTTGGGAAATACCGCTCAGATTTAGATGAAATTTTCACAAACGGTTACTACTATGCCAGGGATGAAAACGCTTTATAGTGTTTGACAATCGGTCTAGTGGAGGCGGAGCTCGCGACAAAAATACGAAAAAAATTAAATTCGATTAAACTTAGTTTTTTGACGTATCAGAGGCTCCTAATATTTTTTCGGAAATTTTTTTGTAAAGCTTACAACTTGGAGATTGGGGGTTGTAGGACGTAGGGGGTTGTAAATGTAATTCCTTTAGTATTAGTCAAAGACATTCTATCATTGTTCCCGGTATATGTCTATGGGTCTATCCCCTGTTTTTTTTACCACACTATAATTTGGCAAGTACCGCTAGGAACTTTTACACAACGTTTCTAGTATGCCGAGGACGAAACAGAATTTTAAAACCGATCCAGTGGCGGCGGAGCGAGGGGTATAAGAAGAAAGAAATAAAACCCGTTCCGACTTCGCTTTTGTCGTTTTAGAGGTTCCTGATAATTTTTAGAAAAATGTTTGTAGGGGTATCTCGATTGTTTGGCTTGGCTAGCTTGGTATAAACTTGTCTGTAGATATTTTTACTAAGGGCAGGGATAAAACGCCTAAGCCACAGCATTGTCAAATGGGTGGGGACCTTGGCTCAATCGATGTGTTTAGTCCTGTTTTTGTTTTACACATGTTCGTAGTTTCTTTTCTTGTTATAATGTTCATTTATGAACTGAAGGCAGCGTTGCGTTGGCAGTGCCGAGTCAACATACTTTTGTTTTGTTTCAGCTCTGGAAGAAAAGTGTTTGGAAAAACTCCGCTCAAAAAAGGAATTCGTTCAACAAGAACGGGAAAAAGTTGACAAGATCAAACAACTTCTCTCCGGATATCAGTTAAAACAATCAGATATCCAAAGCGACGAAAGTTCAACTCCAGACTTACTTAATTTCAAAAAATCTGAAGAGATCTTCCATAACAGAAAGTCCAAGCAAGAGAGCAGTATATACAATCAAGAAATAATGCCAGGAGTGGCAGAAAGTTCAACACCAATGATTGAGGACATGTTTGGGGTTAAGGAACAGTACCTTATGAGGCTGAAGAAGCTTTTAGAGTACAAGCATAAAATAAACGATTTGTTGGATAAAAGTGAAAAGCATATTGGCGATAAAGAACTGAAGGCTAAGATTGAAGGTCAGATAAACAAGGTAAGAATATTTTGAGGAAACCAAGATTTCATTTCCAATGTTTCTTACTTCCGACGCCACTGGCGAGGATGTATTGCAATCGCGAAAAATTTCAAAAATGAGACATGTTTTTTGGACGTTATATGACATGCACATCACGAAAAACCACGTTACACATTTCTGATGATCTGTCTGTCGGTCGGTCTGTCTATCCACTAATTCGTGGCTCGTCTGTAACTTAGAAACTACCGCTGAGATTTGGATAACATTTTTAAACAAGGTTACTACTATGACCAAGGACAAAAAAGCTTTGTCGTTTTGGAAATTCAGCACAGTGGCGGCACAGCTATAAGCAAAAAACAAAAAAAATCGATATCTCTCAAACGTCGTCTTTTGACGTTTCGGAAGCTCCTGATCATTTTCAGAAAAAGTTGTAGGAACTGAAAATGTGCTAAGGGGCGTGAAAGGGTGTAGCTCAATACAATCCAGTCCCAAAACCAGTAATTCTACACACCTATCAGACATATTTCACACAATGATAGAGCATTTTTTTCGATACGCGTCTCTGATTCTGCGTTGTGAGTTCACCGGCGGGCGTCCCAGCCTCGACGAGTGCCCTGGCTGCTGCTACAGCGTTGTCGAGTCTAACGCGTCATGAAGTTAGTATGGGGCGGCGAGAGGCGACGTTGCCAGATGGACGATACTTCCGGTAGGGCAGGGACAGAACGTCTATAGACTAATTGTATGGGACCATTTGACTGACCTGTTCCAGATAATAATAATTCCTCTGTTACGCATGTTCGTAACTAACTTTTTTCTCAGAGGCTTCTTGTGCTGAACATCATCCTTTGTAAACTGATGCCGGCGCTGAATGGGAAGTACAGAGTCAACATCTTTTATCCACATCCTTAAAATTGAGAACTTTAGGATACGGTCAATGTGTTTCCTTAGAAAGCCAATAACATTGAAACCAGATAAGTCACATTATCTAAATTGCAGATGTCATCAGCATTTAGAACCTTTGTGTTGTACCTACCTATTAAATATTTTCAAAAGTTCCAAATAATTTATTTTACATGACATTGGGCGAGAAAGTATTACATTTTCGAAAAAATTTTATTCGAGGTACGCCTTTGAATGTTATGTCGAAGTTATCAGGAACGGAAGACGGATTTTGTCTAAGAAAATTTTGTGAGTGGGCCTCGCAACTTAAGCGTCAACAGAATGTTTATCTGAGTTAAATAAGTTCAAAAATTTTTCCGGAGCACTGCTTTAATTCTTTAAGAATGGTAGGATTGGAAAATCGGTACCTAGATCGCGGAGTTATTAGCAAAAAAAATAGAAATATAAATTTCATATCTTTAGCATGCTTTTTTATATAACGTGTCTGGGCGTTTGTACGGCTGCCCGACGTTCTACCAGGAGGGCGGTTTTGTTGGTAAACATTTCATTGCTGATCAAAACCTTAGATCACAGGCATCCAAGCGTTATCATGTTAATGACAGGATACGATCCGGAGCCAATGAAATTGACTATGAGATGGTGATCATCCTAGAAGACCAGTAGGCCACAAGATACCAAAGAATAACCAAGAGTTTGAAGATTATTTAAGGGCAAGGTAGACTTTTCCAGTAGGTTTTCGCGGTACTTTGTATACGCAATGTTTTACAGATGCAAGGTGCTACAATATAATTGTCGTTCCCTTTTGAGTACGAAACATCATGTGTATAACATCAGCTGAAATATCGAAGTAAAATAACCACAGAAACAAATTCAGGCAGAGATCTATATATCGGATGAGCATGGTATTATATGTACTTACTTATTTTGCCTTCTGTTTTAGTATGAGCATCTTGCCCTTATGACGGAAGCAGTTACTAAGCTTCCAACTTAGTTATGTAAACCACCTCTTGTGGTTAATTGGTTCTGAAGAATGATTGTTCCTTAATGCTTTTCTGTACTTCGTATACGCTGTTTCATCAGCCTCATCAGGAACTGTATCTTTTGAGTAATACATGTATGGCTTGGCTTAGCCGCTTCTACATTTTTAACGCAAATCTGAATTCAGGAGGCATCAAATATTAACTCAGATATTAATTTAAATGAAAATATTACATTACACTCCAAAATAAAAAATAGCATTCAACTGGTAACAGTATATCGCTAGTGTTCATTATACATTAAATCTACTCAACCGTATGCAGTTAAGTGGAAAAGTCAGGAAGATGTCGCTGTGTATTTAGTAACTGAAAAACCATTCATCAAAACCTTTATAAACTCGATATCAGACAAAAGTTTGTGAAAAGGGGAATCAAATAATGTAAGAGTATACAGCATGTCCTATTTGAAAATTCTTGTAAGTTTTTTAGATACCATGCACAATAGAGTACTATTTTCAGAGGACTCAAACATTTTAAAATCAAACACGCGTCACGTATTTCAATCATCACTAATGTCACTCAGACTTTTCGAGTACCTAACGCCTTGAACAGATTTATATCAACGCGTGTGCTAGCTTGCGTGACTCCATATTTCAAGGACTTTAAAATGTCTCAGTTTTCCAATTGAAGATTCCAATGGCGCTTGCGATTTTGTGTGGTTGATATTGTCAAGTGTTCCTATTTTCGAAGCCTCTTTAATACAGTAGCTTTTATGGTGTTATTATTTTCAGATCAAAATCAGTTTGAAATCTACTGGAAGCTTAAAGAAACTGAATATTACAACTAGTATCAACCTTTTAGAAAATCTGATTGGTAAAATTGAGAATGAATTAAGAAATGACAAAGGCACGAGGAAAGAACCAAGTATAAATAAGAAGGTACACTTCTTTTGTATACCATTTGAGAATGTACAGGGTGGCCAATATATAACTGACTGATTTAAATTTCGCACAATTTTCGATACACGCATTTTAGTAGGTTTCGCGGTAGTAGTTGTTTAAAGCACAACGCGTCTGTATTGTTAAAACGTTTTACTCAAATAATGACTCGATTGTTGCAACGATTCGGAAGCTACGACAAGATTTCGGTCAAAATAATGTGCCCAATGTCAACATCATTCGTCAGATAGTGCGGAAATTTGAACAAACAGGTGAAGCTAAAGACTTGTCACGGTTGGGCGGTGCTCGAACGTCGTGAAATATCTACAGAGCACATGAAAGTGTAGTGGCGCGCCCTGAGACGTCTATCAGACATCGTTCCCAAGAACTACAGCCTAGCTTAGTACCAAAAAAATCTACAACTGATAATGAGCGATGAAGGCTACTTCGATATGTATGGATTTGTTAATAAGCAGAATTGTCGTATCTCGGCAATGGAGAACCCTCGTGTAATCGATCAACGACCACTACATCCTTGTCGAGTCACAGTTTGGTGCGGAGTTTTGTATGGAGGCGCCAGTGGACCTTACTTCTTTGAAGACGCTGCAGGTAATACTCTTACTGTCACTGGCGAACGTTACCGTGATATGATGCAAAACTTTCTGGCTCCTCAAATCCAACAATTTAACCTGCAAAACATCTGCCTCCAGCAGGACGGAGCTAATTGACACACAGCTAGGGAAACTAAGAATCCTTTGCAAACAATATTTCCGGGACGTATAATTTCTCGATTTGGTGATGTCAACTGGTCACCAAGGTCATCGGATTTAACGGCTCCTGACTTCATTTATGAGGATTTTATACATATAGGGTGACTTCGAAGTTGAGTAATTTATTTTAACAGTGAGCAGATCTGATCAAAAGAAATGTTTTTCTCCTTTAACATTTTTCTGGTAAAATTAAAGTAACAAAGTTATAGCCGTTTAGAAGTTTTACTACCGCCCTGTTTCAATAATAATATTATGAGCTCGTGTTTGGCAACAACGGATATAATCCGCCTTATAGGTTCATCGCATCGGACACAAAAAAGCGAAAGAATTTGAAACGCTTATTCAGTTGTATTCAGTCAATGTGTCAGTAGGTAACGCGTGAGTGAATAGTGGTGTTTGTTGCGTGGCTCAAACGAAATAAAAAATGGCACATGTTTACGAAAATGCTGAATGTAGTACAAAGGGCTCGTGAATCAGGTGACTTAAGACCTCACAGGGGAGGGCATGCCGATGGTCCAAGACCGCACGATCAAATACAGGTCCGCACTGAAATACTTGTTGGGAGGATACTTTATAAAACAAGGTAAAAAATTTTTTTTATTTTTACACACATATTTTGGTTTATCTTCCTTCCACAATCATTATCTGAAAATTAATGACTCAACTTCAAAGTATACATGGGGTTTATGCCGACAAACCAAATACCGTAGAGCAGCTGAAGAACAATATTACGGAAGCTATTGAAAATATTCCTCCCGAAACATACCAAAAAGTGATGGAAAACGTAATCAAGAGGGTTCAGGTTTGCCCGGCTTCTAGAGGCGGACATTTGTATAATATTTTATCTACGTTTCAATGAAAGATTAAGAAGAATAAAATAGACGTATTATATTTCATTTCACAAATCTTTAAGGTATAAACCAGTCAGTTACATGTCGGCCACCCTGCAGTGGCGCTCCCACGATTTCAGTCTGAGAGGGGTAAAATGGAAAGTAAGTTCTCAGTGTTACGTACTGACGTGTTATAATGACTTAACATTAAAAGCATGGATATATGCAGACATATCAATTTGTTACAGTAATTTCTGTACAAGACAAAATAACAAAGAATACATCTTGATGGAAAAAACATAACATTAACAAATATGTTACCACTACTATAAAGTATAAAACTGAATGTAAATCAAAATAAGATTCTTAATCATGAGAAAAACAAAACAATGTTCATTGCATAACTACATTCTCAAAAAACAAAAACATATAAACTATGCAACTACATCAGTTCACAATCCCAAAATAAAACAATCATTACATTAGCCTAGAAAGTGATTTCAACAGAATATGAACAGACTTTTATATGTATCACTCTGCTGGCCAATAAATAAAATCACATATGTTGATTGGATACTTTGGAAAAGATCACCGTGGTGGTTTAAACGTAAGTAAACCCTTAACTACATCTGCTTTTTTATTTATGGGCCAACAGAAGGGAGATGTATTTGAGAGACAAGGCGCCTATTCTTTTTGCTGGCGAACCGATCTATGATTGTATTCACGTCTATTTTAATATCCCTATGCATATACAAAAGAGCTAAAGCCACTCGCTCTTGTAACATAGTGGAGGGCAATCAAGTTTTTATCCTCTTTAGATGGGATAAACTTCTTTCAGATGCCGCAACACTTACCGGCAATGAAATCAATAATTTTAGGCATCTATTAATTGAAGAAATAATGTTTTCATCACATGATAAATACAGTGACATATCACTCTGTATAATATCTTGTGTATGTGACTTCCAAAGGTCAAACTCTGCTTTTAATCTGGTACTTATTAAATTTTTGTTTTCGTTACTATTTAGTCCATGCAAATATTTAGAGATTGTTTCTAATATGTCCATTACTTCAGCTTCAGTTTTTGAATTAAATACTGACGCAAAGAAAATATTAAAATTGTATATATTCAAAGATTCTTCGTTGAACCGGTATATCAAATTCTGTAATATCACCATATTATCTAGCAAAGGGACATATAGATTCAGTCAGTAATGATTTTCCTTGTCAGACGTAACTATGTTAGGGTCTGTTCATTTGCCTGCTTGTTATTCTTGGCAGAGTCAGTTCAATACCCAGGGTTTCATGTGATTTCATTATAGGTGCGAATAGTATTCTGAAGTGTTTTTCGGAATTTGCGCGTCTTTCTTGTACAACTGAAATAATATTTCCTACGAGTTTGACAGCGTATTGTTTGTCAATTGTTTTTGATTGCAAAATCTTACTCAGGTTGACTGTTAAAGCTAATATATCACACAAACACTTTAGTGATACGATAAATTTGGTGGAAGTAATGGCAGTCTTCAGACTCCGCTTTTGAAGAAGCTTCGCGGTCTTTGCAATTTGATATAATATTTAGTACCTCTACAATTTTCTCGAATTTGCTTTCAAATTGGAGCACAGGATCATGCCTCTCGGTCCATCGTGTTTCGCATATACTATGAATTTGATATCCGTCTAGTTTCCTTTTTAATACTGTATTTCTTTTAGCGGATGCTTTGAAGAACGCAATTACTTCCTTCATTATATCTACAGTATTTCTTACTGCTTGGACACTGCTGCTTTTTGAAATCGAAAGTTTCAAGGCATGATTTGCGCATGAGCTTTTTACAGCATTTGGCAAACATCTTTGCAATTCCATTACAGCACCCTTTTGTTCACCTAACATGAGTCTAGGTTATTGACTTTAATGAAATGCATGACTGTTTGAGCTAGAATTTGACCTGTGAGTTTGGGCTCCATTGTATCTTCATCAAAATTTGAGCAGCAATCCACAAATGCCATGAAGTCTTCGTAAATATGTTTTTGATAACAATACCGCAATACGATTGACATTTGTGATTTATGGCTAATGTCTGTAGTTTCGTCAAATATAATACTGTAATACTGACTTTGGGGGACGCGACCTAAGACTACATCCAAGATTTCTTCTCCGCAACATTCTATAATTTCATTTTGAATGCGGCTGCTTATGTACGTAGCATGCGCTTTTGAGTTCTTTAAGTTTTTTTTCAATAAACTGTCGCCACTCTCGACTCTAAACCGTATTAGCTCTCTAAATTTCCCTTCATTATTAAGGACATCCTCGTCATTCGTGCTGTCATTAAAAAAAAGTCGTCCCCTATCTATATGCCGTCTAAGTGGTATATTTTGGCGTCCTAAAAAAATTATAGATTCTATTATAGGAGTTAATCTTTGCCGATTTTCTGATACCTGCTTAATTCGCTCTGAACCTATTATATTTCTTATATCATTCTTTGGATTTTTGTAAATCTTTAAGAAGTTTGTAGCATCTGAAACTGCTTCTGTATGACATATTGAAATCTCATGTGTCTCACAATCACCGGTTTTGCCATACAATTTCGAAAATTTCTGTAGTGGTACGGTAACAAGTTATCCCAATTTAGTTGATTTATGTACTCCTAATTTTGCAAAAACCACGCAATATTTACAGAAAAGCCCTTGAAGTTCCTCTGAATATGACAGCCAAGGAAATTTCTCAACGTGTTATTATGATAAGTAGCATTTGACTTCTTTATTATTTTTCAAGTGTGTGGTATAGGGATATTTGAAAGAGTCATTAGGGATCATGCACACCTCAATAAGGTACATTTTTCATACGAAGACAAGTTGCCGATGAGATTTACATATGGCGCAACATCAACAAAATTGGATCCCTTAGGTTTTGCACCCGATTGTTCAACACTTGGTTCAGCATGCGGTGCAACATCAAGATATTTTGAAGTGGAAGGGTCAGGTTGAATTGTAGGATTATCATCAGTTTTTTCCGGTAATTCTTGTGCCGGTGGATCAGACAGTTTGTTTTGTATAGAAAAGAACCAATCGATGGTATTCTGTTTCCTTTTACTCATCCTGACAACAGCAGCCGTCAACCAGCACTAAAAGTTACACAAATATTGTCAAATAAATGGCATTATTGGTTTCCACGCATACACGTATCTCATAACAAAGAACCTTTTCTGTTTGGAAAACAAGATTTCTTAAGTTCACCCAATTTTCAAAAACTAAATGTTTAATTTGCCATCTCGCACGAAATGCACTGAAGTGCTTATGTACAGGGACTTCCGAGACAAGATAGACATAGATGATAATGATAGCTGGAGTATGGACCAAACACTTCGTAATTGAAATTATATTGAATTTCCATTTTTCCGTCTGTAATTTTTTTATACACGATTCTTCTATAGTACAAAAATTAAAAACAAACAAAAACTAATTGTCTGGCTTATCCGTGGAAAATAAAAAAACAATAGAACATAAAAAACAGCGTTAATACCAAAACTCCGCTTGTTCACTTCTCAGCCAAATTTTGTTGCGGACTCCGGACTGGTACAGAATTTAGACACTAGACTAGACCATAAAAGACTAGGCTATACCTGCTTCTACATGAAGAAGCGCACACTGTTGGTGTTGGTGGAAGAGTAGTCGCTAGTCGCATGCGCACTGAGCGGGTTAGCAGTGTTGCCGCTATCCTTTCTTAAAGTTACAAAGTTACAGATTCTTTTATAAGACGTTTAGTTTATAGCACCTTTTCAAAGACTGCTTGAGCCGTCTGGGGGGGGGGGGGTTAAATTACCCCCTTTATTCCCCCCTGTATTTAATTAAACTTTGAAATATGCTGTTTTATGAAAAGTGAAATGACACCTTTATGTGAAGTTCTGATCTAAATTTAATGTTGCGACTGATTTGTCTGAAATTCCAGATGAACAGACTTCAAAAAGAAACGAAAGGGTTAGAAAAGGAAGTCGCCAAATTATTGCAGCTTGTTTCAAAGGACACCAAGATAATACCTTATCTTCAGCAGGAAAATATGGGCTCCCTCTGCAACTGCCCCGAATGGTGCGAAAAGAAAGTTAGGTTTAGTCCTTCATCCAGTGGAATATTGGAATGAAACACTTGTTTACTACTGTTATTATTTATTTTTATACTTTTGTGAAAATTACAATTATGCTTAAGGAAGTGTTTAAGTGGTCCTATCCCATACATTAACCCATTTTGGTCTGTATTTTGAAGCTATGTGCAAAAACATTGAAATTCAGTTACGTGATATTTTTTTATATGTGTAAGATTAGAAATTCAGCAGTAATTCTTGCCTGATTCAGTGAAGGAATGAATCTGAAACAAGTTGCCACAACATGTTGCAGATCATAATAAATTTTATTTTATTATAATCTGCAAGGTTTAAGTAGCACTAGCAAGAAGCACAGGCATTTAGTTATATGTCTTTTTCGCACACTTTCTACAAAATTATCCAATTTAGAGTGTTGCATGTAGAATCTAGATTTGTTAGGAGTTAGAGTTTGATCAGAGATATCACATTATCAGGTACAGCATCTCTTCCTTTAAGCCCCTCTAACTCTATGACTACGAGGCAAGCTGCTACGTTAGCTCCCGCTTTTTTAATAAGGTGACAACCCGCGACCATTGTCCCTCCAGTTGCCAGAAGGTCGTCGATAATCAAAACTCTTTTGCCGTGTTCAATGGAACCTTCTTGTATCTCTAAAACGTCCTAAAATAGAAAAAAAAACTGTTTAACGCCCAGTACATTGTGAGGTGCAAGAAATAAAGGTTACACTGCTACCTATGAGTAGCTTCGCCAATGGTGGTACTACCGACCCCTACGTACAGTAGCAGGAAGTAACAGTGTTCCGGTATCTCTGGACAATAGCTTCTACCAAGCCAAACAAGGACGTACACCCACTATCTTTTTCACGAGTATCTCTTACGGTAAAACAACAGCTGATCATTTAGTAATATTTCCCATATTGACAAGTGACACACAATTCTGCCAGATCTGTCAACTCCAGGTAGACCGAGCCGTATTTTGTTTTTTTTATACACTGCCGACAAGAAAAACGGCTGCTAATGATCTTGATTACATTTCTCGTCAGGTAGGAGCGAAATGATAAGAACAGTTTTTGACTTTGTTCATCTCTACTTATGAGAACTGAAAACACCATATGATTTTAAAGGGCAATGAAGCAGCTGATGACGAACAATCAACCAGAAACACGTGAAAAAAAATCTCTCCAAAATCTTCCCCATTGAAATAAAAATTCTCTGATCTTTGGGGAAACCCCCTAATGTGATAACTCTGTAATCTGTAAGTAATCTTAAGTTAGTCACTCCTTCTGACACAGTCCGGATCGAAATATAACGGTATTCCTGAAATGTATCGATACACCCAAGTATCGTATATAAAAATATCGATCTAAAATATCGGCACGAGTATCACGTATCTTGAAAAGTGACATTATGCCGATTTTTTTTGACATTATGTAGGTGTAGGTTATTCTACAAGATGTTAACTTAGCATTTAGGTATACGTCTTGTCTAAACGTCATGAGGATTGTTATCAATCTTGGCTCTGATGTGATGTAAAATCTGCTTCTGAGATGGCATCACTGGAGGTCTAAGCTGTAAGTTGTATGTGTTGATGATACGAGTAATTACATTGGGTTCTTGTCTCAAATACATTTAATTGAGATTCAAAGCTAGAAATTAGTTGCGCATCTACTTTTTCTTATCCATTCTGGAAATTACATACCTATACAAATTTGATAAATTTCTAAAATGAGAGAGATAAGAAATATATACAGGGTGACTTCGAAGTTGAGTCATTTATTTTAACAGTGAGTAGATCTGATCAAAAGAAATGTTTTTTTCCTTTACCATTTTTCTGGTAAAATTAAAGTAACAAAGTTATAGCCCTTTGGAAGTTTGAGGACCGCCCTGTCTCAATAATAATATTATGTGCTCGTGTTTGGCGACAACGGATATAATTCGCCTTATTGGTTCATCGCATCGGAAACAAAAAAGCCAAAGAATTTGGAACGATGTTTTTACAATTATTTCATTCAGTTGTATACAGTCAGTGTCAGTCGGTAGTGGATAGTGGTGTCTGTTGCGTGGCTCAAATGAAATAAAAAATGGCACATGTTTATGCGGATCGGTTTCCCAATCGAGTGCAACCAACCCCTCGTGCCTTTGTTAATGTAGTACAACGGGTTCGTGAATCATTTGGACCTCACATATGGACGGCATGCCGGTGCTCCAAGACCTCACGATCAAATACAGGTCCGCACTGAAATACTTGTCGGGAGGATACTTTATAAAACAAGGTAATTTTTTTTTTTATTTTTACACACATATTTTGGTTTATCTTCCTTCTACAATCATTATCTGAAAATTAATATATATATATACAGGGTGACTTTGAAGTTGAGTCATTAATTTTCAGATAATGATTGTAGAAGGAAGATAAACCAAAATATGTGTGTAAAAATAAAAAAAAATTAAAAAAAAATTTTTACCTTGTTTTATAAAGTATCCTCCCGACAAGTATTTCAGTGCGGACCTGTATTTGATCATGAGGTCCTGGAGCACCGGCATGCAGTCCCCTGTGTGGTCTTAAGTCACCTAATTCACGAGCCCGTTGTACTACATTAACAAAGGCACGAGGGGTTGGTTGCAATCGATTGGGAAACCGATCCGCATAAACTTGTGCCATTTTTTATTTCGTTTGAGCCACGCAACAGACACCACTATTCAAGCGCGTTACCGACTGACACTGACTGTATACAACTGACTAAAATAATTGTAAAAACATCGTTCCAAATTCTTTCGCTTTTTTGTTTCCGATGCGATGAACCAAACACGAGCACATAATATTATTATTGAGACAGGGCGGTACTCAAACTTCCAAAGGGCTATAACTTTGTTACTTTAATTTTACCAGAAAAATGGCAAAGGAAAAAAACATTTCTTTTGATCAGATCTACTCACTGTTAAAATAAATGACTCAACTTCGAAGTCACCCTGTATATATATAATCACTGTACACTGTCGAATTACAAGTCATATACCTACATGCTAACAGTAATTACACAACACGCGGGCGCGGTGATGATTTCCCGTAATTCTCCTGAGTTCTTCGTAATTTATAATTTTGAACATAACCTAGTGATGTAGGAATACGGATTAAAATAACGGTACAATCCGAATATTCATTTATTCCGTAATATGCCGAATATCAATTTATTACGTATTATTTTTAATACGGAATGTGTGTGATTTGCGTTCTTCGTTTTTTGCAATGAAATTAACAAGGCAACAACAACATACAACGGAAAGTTAGATTAGAAGTCCGGAAGAAACTTCATGGAAGAATAATAATACGTATGATTTTTAATAGGAGTTCTCATTTTCATCCGTATAAGTATGCAACATGCAGCGCACACCGCACGCAGACGTTAATCGCCAGTGGTGGCGCAGATTTTAGGTATTTAGGTCAGGTCGCCTAGTTACAGTTAATGTTTTCTTATTTTCTGCAATTAAAATTAAATGAAAAAACTATATGTTCAATTTTTGAAAGCGGAATGAAACAAAGAAAAATAAACAATCAGTTTTATTAATAATATTAAATTAGGTACCTTATCACAGATATGAAAAATTCAAATAGGTCACGCCACTGGTGGCATTGATCACAGCTCGAACCTCGAACACGAACGCGAGACGAAACAGACAACCAACAAAACAAACCACTTTCTCACGTCAGAATAAAACTAATAACTAATCATAACCAACCGTCCCTTGTTCCGTATTATTTCAATCATCCGTATTCCGTGTTGCCAGGTCGCATAAAACCGCATGTATTTGCCGGATTGGCTCCACCTGAGGCACCTGATATTATGGATGATACGTAATATTATTACGGATGATTCATCCGAATATTCTATTCATCCGTTTCCGTGTAACGGGTTATCAAAATATTCGGAATATTTACATCACTAACATAACATCTTTTCAGGAAGCACAACATATAAATAACCCGTCATTTTCGGCAAATTCAGTAATGCTTTTCTCACACAGAAAATATCACTGATTTTATACACATGCAGACCAATACACATAATTATCCAGGTTCGATCCTGCTATACAACCAACTTTCTTCTCAGAGATAAAAACGACAGACCCGGATCACTCAGCCTCACAAAACTATGCAACCAATAATGCGTAGTTTAGTTGAGTGATTCCTCCATAGATGGACGTTCACAACTGTCCTAGTGAGCAAACGTGGAATGACTCTTTGCGCCCTAAAGACTACCTAGTCTGCAAGTTGACATCTCATAGGTTTTTTTTGACGTTTTATAGGTTTTTTACATGATATCCGTGCGGGTATCGGGAGCAAAAGTATCGATACTTCTAAATATCAGGTCATATCGAACATCTCTACAAAAATGTCATTTACTGATCAGCTGTTCACCTCAGTAGACGTCAAAACGTAATGGGTAGTGGTGAAATAGGGTTTGTTGTCACTGTGGGGAGTACCAAGTATTCATCATATTCTACTAGTATTGATGTACTATGCATCAACGACACACCGGCTAAATAAGTTTGCTATCCGTTTTTACCAACGAATTCGAATAGATTAGGAGCCAAACCTCTACTTATGTTTACATTGCATGGTGTAGTTTTAGTGCACCTGCACACTTTTGGCTGATTTCTTTACCATGGACTAACAAAGTGACACACCAATACATCCTCCTTAATTTTTTCTCGGGAAAATATATTCAAGGACTTATTCGTACTGTGTGCACTTACGTAGAGCAAGGCAGAAATTCCTAGTTGCAATCTGAATCGCTCAGTTATTGTTAATAAACAAGGATACATTAAATAAGGCAAAGAAACGAAAATAAATATCTATTAACGATACGGCACATGAATAATACGAAACACTCTCTCCATCAAACAGTAACAATGGCGAAGTACCTGATACTGGAAACAGTGGGACACCTTGCATACATTTTACGAGTACTAATTTATTGTGAAATATCACCAACTGTCAAACTGGCGGCTTAAGCTTAATCGAGAAACGGGGAACAGGCCTAGTCATAATAGTTATCAAATTTAAAAGAATAGAAAAATCGGTAAGACTATACTTTAGAGCATATCGCAACTATTTCATTTCTTATTTTAAAATGAAAGACTAGGATGTAACTTTTACGAAAATAGTATTTTTAATTTAAGGAACCTGCTGCTTGCTATTTTATAGAACTTCAAAGTTGCATTTTTGGTGGTAGTACTCTAGAATAGAATACTGTTTTATACGCTGTTTTTTGCTTTTTGCACAAACGGATGCTCTAAATTATAAGAATATAACATACACTTTAAAGAAAATAGATGTGAAACTGTAAAAAATCGTTGGTTTTTCATAGAAAAAGGTTAAAAACCAGCCGTATAATAAGCTGAAATGACATTCCAAATACATACCTTTAATACCATACTTAAAGTATGTATTTGGCTGAAATTCTTGTTTTTTTTTATCGGAAAAATGAAGAAATCAGCAGAAATGATCATTTTTTAAGGACAATAGGTGTGAAACTATAAAAAATCGTTTTTTTTTGCAAAAAAAGGTTAAAAACCAGCCGTGTAATAAGCTAAAATGACAGTTTAAAATACATACAGTAAATAATGGTATTTACTTGGTAAACTGTGTAGAGGTGTTGTGTTGTCATCTTGAACTTCCTTAACCATTTTGTTTCACGTATTTGCAATGGGATCAAAGTTTTTGCGTCTATAAGAAATATTTGAAAGTACAAATAATTCTCAATGGCCATTTTATAAAGTTCATTTCTTGACAGATAAGATAAATGATGTCCATTGTTGTCAAGTTGTACTTTTTTGGGAGAAATACGTAATAAAAAATGAGGTTGTTAACAAATCTTAATTTATTGTCGTTTTATAAGAAATTATCCCTGGAAATTAAAATGATATTGTGAACAGTACGTGTCTAAACAGGGGAAAATGCACCAGCGGCTCTTGTGACATAAAAAATACAAAAAGCACCAGCGGTCATTGCATATAAAAAGACCCAACTTCGATTCGTCGACTTGGACCACGTCGCCAGGTCCACCCAACATATCGTCGTCCAACATTATAGTTAAATAAAGATCAACGACTATTTCATCAAATCTTCAAAAACTTGCATGTTCGTCTTTGTTATGTTTTCATTATTCAGTGACTGGCAGAAGCTACTTTTTCAGTAATTTCTCATATATATATATATATATATATATATACATATACAGGGTGTTAATAAAGTATGTAGACGAACTTTAACCATCCAATCCTTGGTCAACTTGAAGACGAAATTTCCATATGATCATGAGTCCGCAACGGCTTTGTTGTTAAGCTTGAGCATATTAGCACCAAAAGAAATGATATGAAAATTATAAAAGAATGAAACGTATTTTATTTTAATTAAATATGGCGTGTGGTGAATATCACATGATTTACAGTTGTTTTCAGACCGTCCATGTATGCAGATACGGATAATGTTATCCAGTACTTTTTGAAAAAGTACCATGAGATTGATTTGTTTTGACTATTGACATTCTGGAAATTTCTCAAAGTGTTATTATGATAAGTAGCATTTGACTTCTTTCTTATTTTTCAAGTGTGTGGAATAGGGATATTTGATAGAGTCATTAGGGATCATTGCAGGTATATTTTTCATGGAAAGTCAAGTTGCCGATGAGATTTACATATGGCGCAACATCAACAAAATTGTATCCTTTAGGTTTCGCACCCGATTGTTCAACACTTGGTTCAACAAACGGTGCAACATCAAGAAATTTTGAAGTGGAAGGCTCAGGTTGAATTGTAGGATTATCATCAGTTTTTTCCGGTAATTCTTGTGCCGGTGGATCAGACAGTTTGTTTTATAAAGGAATCAATCGATGGTATTGTTTCCTTTTACTCATCCTGACAACAGCAGCCATCAACCAGCACTAAAAGTTACACAAATATTGTCAAATAAACGGCATTATTGGTTTCCACGCATTCACGTATCTCATATGAAAGAACCTTTTTTGTTTGGAAAACAAGATTTCTTAAGTTCACGCAATTTTTAAAAACTAAATATATAATTTGGCATCTCGGACAAACGAAATGCACTGAAGAGCTTATATACAGGGACTTCCGAGACAAAATAGACATAGATGATAATGATAGCTGGAGTATGGACAAACACTTCGTAATTGAAATTATACTAAATTTCCATTTTCCCGTCTGTCATTTTTGTAGACACGATTCTTTTATGGTATAAAGATTAAAAACAAACAAAAATTAATTTTCTGGCTTATGCGTGGAAAATAAAAAATCAATAGAACAGAGAAAACAGCGTTAATACCAACCCGATCAACAAAACTCCGCTGGTTCACTTCTCGGCCAAATTTTGTGGCGGACTCCGGACCACCTTCTCAAAGACTGTAATTACCCCCTTACCCCCCCCCCGTGGGAGCGCCAGTGCGAGAAAGTATACTCTGGTTTCTGGATAAGGTGGCTGGCGGCATGTATTATCCCTGCATTCATATATTATTATTGTTATATACCGCAAATACCTCTGACAAATCAAATCATTGCAAACATTTTGTGATCCACCCATCTTTGTCTTGCATGGTATTAAATGTACCATACAATATATGTGAGTACATGTACTTACAGGACCGTATTCCTTTGAGTAGCAAACACTCAGCAAATTGCCTGGAAGTTTCCCCTTTTTCCTTATTGGCACAAATGGAACATTGAGCTCCAATGAAATCAGTGGTCCAAATAAGAAGCCTCTAGCTTCTAATCCTGCAACACATTCTATTGGTGGGCTTATTTTCTTTGCCTCTTCTACTAAGATATCTCTTAACAAACGATAATAATCTGGTTTGTTGAGGATTGAAAATATGTCCCTGAAAGTTAGTTGATCAATTTGCGAAACCCTATTTTCACGTATTAAGATTGTCGTTGAATAAATAATATATTATACTTTGTTGGAAAAACTTGTAAATTCTTATACATTGATTTACTACTGGAAATATGCAACACATCTGACAGTACACTGTAACTGAGATTGCATTTCTCTGAACTGTCAAAAAGTAGGTGAAAGTCAAGCACAAAAAATAAGAAATATCGTTACATGTTAAGGTTAAGCGGTACGTGTATAGAAAACATGCTCTTACCAAAATAGTATCCCTTTTTTTGGGAAATTAGGGTAGCTCTTAAGTTGCTCCTGAATCTGAGCTATTCTCTCATCTCCAGCTGCCATTTGAGAATTTTTCAACCTATAATCTATAATCACACGTTATTTTGAGGTTTTTATAAGTAGTATCTAGTACCCTGTTTATGAACGATTCACTTTAAACGTATTATATCGGATGTCAACAAGGAATGATAAGTATATTCTTGGTCAAATAAAGCAATTCAATTTCATTTATCAACAAATGAAGTTTAATAAACCTATGACCTTGTGTTGGATCTGGTACTACCGTTGCAGCGTTGCACCATGGCACCAGCTGTAAGTACCCTTCGCGCCATCTATACGTTGATTGTGGTACTTTACACATCCAACACCAAGTTTTCTTCCTTTCCTCTATCATTTTTGGTACCACTCAGTCCGAAAAGTATCAGGTGGCACCATTCAGTTTCTTACAGGGTAATATAGACGGCGTTTCTAAACTGTATATTTAGGGTAAAATAGCACGCTACTGCTTTTCGCAGAAATAAGAGGCGTTTGCTTTAGGCCAAATTGATTAGTTTGGAAAATCGATTGTTGAAGTTTTTGGCAACGTTCGGCAGTGTTTATTATTTTTTGATACCGTTAAAATGATTGAGGTACTGACGAGCAAATGCTTTTATTCCGAAAACGGCGCGCGTAAATGGAAAACTCCAAAAGGCAGCAGGCACAAATTTTTTGTGATTCTGGGTAAGTGATTGAAGGCATAGGCATGTTTCTTGATATTTACATTTCCATCAGTATTTGCAAAATTCATGGGAATATTTTGCGAATATGAATATCAGGATTAGAGGAGATGTATTAGGTTGTTGAATAAAACAACAGATATCAGTTTATTTTTTGTGTGAGACAAGCATGTTGTAATAAACAAATGAAAATTATTTCTTTCGAATAAACAAAATTAAAAAAAAAACAGTCTTCAATTTAGCTGTCCATGAAATGAACTAAGAACTTAAAAATAGTTTTTCCGATAGATAACTGAGGAATTCTTTAGGGAATAAGCAGCCCGTCCGATCATTCTACATGTTTTGATGGGTGTGTTTTTTATTATACTTGTCAGGGATCCGCGCCCATATTAGATAACATAAGAAGTGACAGTATTACGATTTTTAATGACATTATGAAGGTCTTTCCGAAAAAATGTCAGTTTGGAACTGGACGTCATTCACTTCAGGTTCACTTGCCTGCCTTGCTATGCGTGTTGCCTAAATGTCATGACACTTGAGCTATACGGTTTAGCTCTGATGTGCTGTGACATATGCTTCAGAGATGAGAAGGCCATTCATAGCTTCTAACGTATAAGCTGTATGTTCTGCACTAGGTGGCGCTGATAGGTTGGCGACTACTTACTACACAAGTTGACATTAAACAGATTTTAAATGACATTATATTTTACGTAATATCCCTGCCCGTGGAGTGTCTGAGCAGGAACCAGACAGTTTCGAAAGAGGCAATGTCCGTTACGCAAAGTTCAAGGTAAGGGCAAAGCAACCTTCTGGTCTAAGGAGCTAGAGAATAAGAAATGAGCTGTGCACAAACTTCTTAGAGTTAGGCACAGGAGAGGCTCTCCCCAATGAGAATAGTATAAAAATGAGAGAACTTGTCAAGCAAATCAAGCCTGAGATCTCCGCCTGATCCCTTGGGAGGCACTCTGAGGTTTCTGAAGGACACGCACTTTCCCGGTTCTACACTAGCGCAATGAATCACAGAGTGCATGCCTCTGCGCAGGCCCTCAGGGGAGGACTGGCGTATGGCAGAGGAGATTGTCACCTTCGATAGGATGGATTGGGCGAACGATTCGTTTGCTCCATATAAAAGTCGGGGTTTGGACGGCGTATTTCCGGCCATGTTACAGCACGGGTGGTATTCGGTTGCTCCCTACCTGTCGAAGGTTTTTCGAGCATGTATGGTCACGAGCTTCATACCTACAAGCTGGAGGCAGGCTAAAGTGATATTTATTCCTAAACCGGGCAGATCTAGATATTCTGGACTATTTTCATCCGATTACCCTTTCATGTTTTGTGCTTAAGACATTGGAAAGGATAGTTGACAGATTTTTGACGAACGGCCCGCTAGAGAGGTGTGTCATTCACTCCAATCAGTTTGCATACCAGGCTGGGAAATCAACTGATCTGGCCGTACATAATCTGGTCGGTAGGCTGGAGAAGACTCTAGATCAGCGAGAAGTGGCGCTCGTGGCCTTCTTGGGTATTGAAAGTGCATCTAATTGCACTACAGCCCACTTTATCAGACTTGCCTTGGTTACTCACGGGGTTGGTTAGCTCCTATCTACTCTGAAGGGTCGGGTAGGAACATCTATGCTAAATGACGTATGCCGCAGCGCCAGTGTAGCTCGGGGTTGTCCACCCCTACTGTAGTGCCTCATGGTCATCGACTTCCTCGTTAGGCTCAGCCGTGCGGGTGTTTATGTGCAAGCCTATGCTGATGGTTTAAGCATAGTGGAGTCGTTATTGTGGAATGGCCTCTGAGATTATGCAGGGCACTCTGCGCGCTGTGGCATCGTGGTATAGGGAGGTCGATCTTTCTATCAACGCTGGAAAGAGCGAGCTGATTCAGTTCGCTAGGAGAAGGAGGCGTGACGGGGCTTGTCTTGTCGACCTTCTTTGGGACTAGACTATTTATATCCCAAAAAGTTAAATATCTAGGAATTATCCTGGACTGTAGGCTGAATTGGAGACAGCATGTTGAATACAAGGTTAATAAGGCTGGCAATTCAATGTGGGCTTGAGATGTGTAGTCAGAGCGAGGTCGGAGCTTAAACCCAAAGTGGTACACTGACTCTATATGATAATAGTATGTCCATGTCTCATGTTCGGCTCCCTAGTTTGGCGGCCTTGCATTGGAGCCGAGACAATTAAGGCCAAACTCAATAAATTTTAGCGTTTGGCTTGCATCAGTATTACCAACGCAGTGCGGACAACGCCATTGAATGCAATGGAAGCTTTGCTGGATCTCTCACCGTTGGATATAGTGATCCGTGTAGAGACGAGAGTAGTCGCACATCGACTCTGGAGTAAGGGCAGCTGTGCGTTTTTGTATATTGTCAAGGGTCACACTTTCATCTTAGCCGAACTTCTAAGGGAAGATCCTGTAGTTCTGAGCAGGGGTGATCTGATCACCACTAAATATCGCTTCAACCGCAAGCTTAATATGGAGTATCCAATGAGGGCGGAGTAGGACTTTGGTAGCCGGAGACCTTTGGAGGGAGTGGGAGTACACGGACGGCTCGGTCACTGATGAGGGCGGAGTCTTTGGGCTATCTCTCGGTGGATACATTACTATTTTCCTGGCGGAATTCTTTGCGATTCTGGCTTGCGTATGCCGCATTTTGGAGGGGAGAGGGCCTAGGAGAAGAATAACAATCTTCTCCGACAGCCAGGCTGCATTGAAGGCACTATGTGCTTGTAACATTACTTCGTCTTATATCGCAATGCAGGGCGGCTCTGGATTGTCTAGCAGCGAGGCACCAGATATCGTTAGTGTGGATCGGGCTGGTGTGGGTACCGGGGCACGCTGGGTTAATGGGCGATGATACGGCGGAATACTCTCAGAAATGGAAAAGCATATCCTGACATTTCCGTTAGGCACGGGAATTCATCGTAGGGCCCAGCGCTAAGGATGGATGCTTCTGCTTATCCTTATATAGAGCAAACCTAAGCTTGATGATGGGACTATTGTCTGGCCATTACACGTTGAGGTGCCACTTGCACGTGATGGGAGTGGCTGAGGATCTCTTGTGTGAGTGCTGCAGGGTAGATGAAGCGACCTCCGTGCACGTTCTGTGTCGCTGTGAGGCCCTGAGGTACTACAGGCAGACTACACTGGAGTCCATCTTTTTGGACCCCCAGAACGCTAAGAAGCTGGGATTCAAGGCTATACTCAACTTTGCTAGAAGAGCGAGGTTTGACGCTTAGAGAATGTAGGGGTGCATAAGGGCCTGTCTAAGGCCCGTATCGTCAGTCGTCCCTACAATTGTAGGGCGCGTTTATGGCCTCCTTGATTGTCATCCTTCTTTCTCTCCTTCAAAAATTTCTAGATTACACTTGTCCCGTGTCAGCGTCAGCGCTCTCCTATTGTAAAGATATGTTTTCTTTTTAAATTGCAGGAAATTTCAGGCTGATAAAACATGATATAACTCAAAAGCAAGCACAATTTGATGCAAATAGATGTTTGTGACATAACCTCAAAATAGAGTTCTGACACAGAGAAGCAGAAAACTATGACAATCAAGGAGGCCATAAAGGTGCCCTAGAATTGTAGGGACGACTGACGATACGGGCCTAAGTGGCCTATACGCCGGCTCCTCACGGTGACCGGTATGCCACTATTTCATAATTCATTTATTCATTCATTCCGATTTGTAAAACGGGGCTCTAGGCTCAGAACTTTGGTATCAGTAGCCCCTGTTGCCAGTCTATCGGCCACTAATATTATTACCCTTGGCTTGTGAGTGAAGATTCAGCCAGGCGAGAGTTATGCTGTTTCTGGGGAGGCGCTTGCAAGTGCCAAATGGCAGTAATGTATTGTTCTCGTTGCAAAACTAGACAGTAACCTAATATTTTTGCCTGAAACCTTTCCGGCAAGTTTATTAGCAGCTTAAAGTTGTATTACTCAGTATAAAAAAACCTTAATAAAAATGTTGTGTGGAATTTAAAATATTTCATTTTAAATTAGCCTAGCCTACAGAAATGCAAGTTCAAAAAGTATACAAAAATGTTCAAATGTTTAGTTTGATTTTCGCGTAGGACGCGCTTCACTACCCATTTAAAAGGCAGATTACGACCTGCGTTGCTCTTAGCTGGCATGTTTACGCTTGAAAATCAAACGGGTTTGTGTGATGTAGAATTCGTAAGCGCCAAATGGTAGCCTAGTACTGTTGCTTATAATATACTAAGTGACATATAAATCCGAACACCCAGTTTAAATGGTTTTATTTTAATAAAGTTGTGTATAAGTACTTAATGAAGCATAATAAGTAAATGATAAAAATTTCAAAATGATTGCACTGCTTTAAAGCCCTTTGACCTTTAATAATGTGTGGATGCACCCTGATGTGCTACGCATTCTCCAACGCGCCTAGGCATGCTTCTGATCAGGTGGTCAATGTCCTCCTGTGGTATCTCATTCCAGGCAACCACCAACTCCTCTCGAAGTGCTTCTAGAGTCTGAGGAGGACGTTGCAAATTGAGCAATCTTCTACCCATCATATCCCACACGTGATCAATTGGGGATAAGTCGGGAGATCTTGAAGGCCATGGTAACAATGTGACATCATTATG